TTGCCTGTTTGTAATAACACAATGGGCCTCCAAGGTATAATAGGTGCTATCAAGTTGATCCCTGCTCACAGTAGCCCTGTGTGACAGAGTAGAACTGCCCCACAGGGTTTCCTAGGCTGTTACCTTTATAGAAGCAGATAACTAGGTCTTTTTATCCCACTAAGCAGCTGGGTAGGTTTGAACCACCAACCTTTTTCAGTTAGCAGCCAATCCCTTAAACCATCACACCACCAGGGCTCCTTTACAAAAAAAATCAATCACATTTAGAATAAAGGGGCAGCCCTGAAGTTTAGTTACCCATTTGGGTACATTTTGCTTGAAGTGTATACCAATGTAAGCCTAAAATAAACCCATTTCCCAGGTAGGCCGGGTAATGTGTAGACGCATCAACAGCGTTATTCTGGGTGGTGAGCCCTGGTGGTGTCTGCACTAGCCAGGTCACACTTCACAGCCTCAGCTCCCAGGGGAGGGTGCTGTGACCACTGCTGTCCCCAGGGCCTGGAATGCTATATGGAATGTGCATGCTTCCCTCCTGGCGTGGGGGAGCCAGGCTCTGTGGCAGCCCCTCCGTGGGCCCCTTTGTGCTTTTCTGGGCTGGTTTTAGCAGAGAGTTGTGCTTCTGGAAATTTTGGTGGCTTCTGGTACCAGTCAAGGGCACACAGCCAGGCTTCCTGGGTGCCTTGCAGTGGCCCCGACTGTGCTGTGATTTAGGTCAGTCATGTGGTGGTGGAGGGGTTGCTGGGTGCAGCTCAGAACCTCCCATGGGAGGCCCAAACCCAGAGTTGGCAACAAGTGTGTGAGGTAGACTGGAGCTGGGATCTGCTGGTGGTTTTGGGTGATGGTGCCCCCTGGGGGCCAGGGGAGCCCTGGTCTCCCTGGCAGTGTGTCCCCACTGGGAGCAGGGGACAAACCTCACTGCCACGGAACTGCTGGTATATTCTAAGGTTGGTGTTCTCTTCGAGATCCACAGGAATATGAGAGGGTGGCACCCCCGTGGGTGCACTGAGTCCCAAGCCTCAGCCCCCAGCTAGGCCTCCGTTTCTTCCCTGAAACAAGTTCTCACCCTCGTGGGGCTCCAGCAGTCTTAGTGTTCGCAAGGGTCTGGGTCTGAAGGAAGCCTAGGGAATGGAGGTTGCGCTGCTTTTATCAGAATAAAAGGGGGCAAAAAATCAACAGAGTGAGCTTTTTCCATGTTACATTTTCACCCCCACAAAGCTGTCCCCAGCCCTGGTCAATGCAGCGTGCAGCCGTCTTTGTTCCCACTTGGTGGCCCTGCCATGCAGGCTTTGTTCTACATACTCATTAGCTCATTGACTCCCTGGACCCATTGCTGTGGAGTCATTTCCAACTCATGGTGACCCCACATTTGTATAACTGTACTCTACGGGGTTTTTGTTTTTGTTTTTAATTTTTATTGTGACTTGGGTGAAAGTTTACACAGCAAATTCATTTTCTATACAGCAGTTCACATACACTTTGTCTCATGACATTGACTGCCATTTCCCACAATGCAACAGCTCCCCTGCCACATCCTCCCCATAGTTACCTCTTTCCCTGTGTCCTTCCCTCCATGCACTCCTGCCCCTGAGCTGTCTCCCTGTGCATACACAGCCCTTCTATTCTCCTCTGACTGATCTCTTCAAGGAGTGTGATACACTCTACCTAATGAAAATGTTCGGCTCATATGCTTGTCTTTTGTTTGGCTGGAAGCCACAGGAGTGGGTTCTGTTCCAGACCTGAAGGGCAGCTAGGGGCCATAGTCTCAGGGGTTCCACCAAGCTCTATCAGACCAGCAAACTTGGTCTTTTTTTTTTTTTTATGATTTTGAGTTTTGTTCTACATTGTTCTCCCTCTCTATCCAGGATCTCCTACACGGATCCCCCTCCAAGTGGTTGACAGTGGTAGCCGGGCACCATCTAGTTCTTCTGATCTCATAGTCATATAGGCTGGTATCTCATGGTGTACCAGTCCCTTGGACTAATTGTTTCCATGTGTCTTTGGTTTTCTTCATTCTTTGCTTTGGATGAGGAGAGACCCATCATTGCATCTAGATAACTATGTGCAAACTTTTAAGATCCCAGTCGCTACTCACCAAATAGGATGTAGAACAATGTTTTTGTTGTGCCAATTGAGCTTGATGTCCCCTGTGACCATGGTCTCCATGGGGTTTTTAATGGCTGCTTTTTAGGAAGTAGATTGCCAGGCCTTTCTTCTGAGGCACCTCTGAAGGGGCTGGAACCACCAACCTTTCAGATAGCAGCTGAGCATTTTAACCATTTGCACCACTCAGGGACTCCACAATGCCGTCAGAAGGTGAGTGTTATTGTTACTGTCCCCATTTAACAGATTTTGAAACTGAGGCACCAAGAGCTGGCATCACTTGCTCATTGAAGACATTAGTTTTCCACAGGTCCTAGGAAAAGCCAACCCCTCACAGGTATGAAGACCAAGTGTGATAGGAGCCAGGAGCCCCTGTGGGTTCTTGAGAGCTGTAGGAATTTCCCAGGGCCACTGTACCACACGGTGGATGACTTTATTAAAACAATAGAAATTTATCCTCTCACAGTCTGGAGGCTGGGAGTGTGAATGCAGGGCCACACTCTCTCTGGAGGCTCTAGGGGAGGATCCTTCTTCCTTGTCTCTTCCAGTTTCTGCTGGCCACAGGCATTCCTTGGTTTATGGCTGCATCACTCCAGTCTCTGCCTCTTTCCTCACATGGCCTTCATCCTTGTGTGTCTTTCTGTGCCTGTTTCCTTTTCTTACAAGGGTACCAGTAAAGAGATTAGTTCAAGAATAACAAGGCTTGTGAGGATGGCACAGAACTAGGCAGTGTTTTGTTCTGCTGTACATAGGGTAGCTATGAGTCAGAGCCAACTGGACCTCAGCGGCAACTAACAACAAAAGCAGCAACAACAAAGAGATTAGGACCCACCCTATACCAGTGTGACCTCACATGAACTAATTACATCTGCAAAGACCTTATTTCCAAATAAGGCCAGGTTTGTAGGTACTGGAGTTCAGATTGCAGCATGTATTTTGGGGGGACACAATTCAGTCTACAGCAGTGACAGTGGGAGAACAGACCCTCAGAATGGAATGGCCAAAGGCTAGTGTCCATGAGGCTTGTAGTAGCCCTGACTGCCCCAGGGAACAGCGAAGGCATGTGAGTGTTCAGTGGCACTGTCTACCCTCAGCCAAGGGATGCTCCATCAGTCAGGATGAGCCCGACTCTGCTGCACTAACAGGCAGCCCTGTAAGTGCTCACCAGCAAAGCCTCACTTCCCACTCTCAATGCTTCTCAGGTTAGCTGGGGCTCTGCATGTCTCAGGACCTCAGGGCCCCCAGCCAGTGTAGCCCCATTGTGACTGACACTGTCTGTGGTCACCACAGCAGGAGAAGGGACAATGGTGGATCACGCACCAGTGCTTAAAGTTCCCTGCCTGGGAAGGATGCACATCCCTTCTGCTCACATCATGTGTCATTGTCAGAGCAAGAGCTAGGCCATACCCTACCCAAAAGGATAGGAAGGGCAGTGACTTGGTGCTTGGAAGGCAGGAAGGGAACAGTTGAGGGAGGCACTGTGGACAGTCAGGGGCCAGGCTGCCCACTGTGCTGGTGCTAAGCCAGGGGCTGGAGGTGGGGTAGGTGAGGGGTGAGAGGACCAAGGGGAGAGATGGGCTCAGGGGAAATGGGGGACACACACTCTCGAGAGGGACAGGCTGGAGCACTCAAGGTGCAGCCCATGTGTGGCACCAATGCCACTCCCACGCTGGGCCTGGGGCCGTGAGCTTGGGGTCAGAGCTCTGCAAATGCCCCCACCAGCTACTGTGTTTATGCACCCAAGGTGATGAGGTGTAGTGACAATCTTAGACTGGGTCCCAGTCATTTCTTGAGGCAGGCATGGTTGGCCACATTCCAAGCCCAGAAGGTGTGTTGCTGCCACATGGGCGGCCACATAGAAGGCTGGGGCATGTCGTCACGGGCACCTACAAGAAAGAGGACTCATCCTGATCCATCATGTCTGGCCATGTCCTTAGCCAGGCCCCAGGCCCCTCTGGACCTCACATCTTTATTTGCATGCACAGTGAGAACCAGGAAAGCCCACGCCTCCAGGACCAGATACAATCATGCCCCTAAGCCACCAAAGCTAGGCTGGCTTGAGGGATCTAGGATATCACTATAAGGTGGAGGGTGTGGTCACTCTACATGGATTCCAGCTCAGGTCCATGGGCCCTAGGCACTGCCAACACCCACAACCACCCACCTAACTCAGGGAGTTTCCTAGGCAGAACTGCTGCCCACCAGACTAGCAGGATAGCTTCATAGACCCAACCTTTACCCCAGAGCATCTAGAATCATCCACCTGACCTCCACCCCAACATTGACCTTGCAAGTGCCCAGCCATAAATAAGCCCCTCAGCCCCAGGGAGGCACCTGGTGGTCATGGGTGATGCTTATGGCCGGCCACCACCAGCTGCCATAGCGACATTTGCTCACAGTGGCCTGGGAGCTGCATGGGGCTATAGCCAAGATGGATGTGATGAGGAGCAGATGGGGCCAGGTGGTCAGGAGAGTGGCAGGTGGTCGTTTCACAGGTAAGATGGTGCAGCGCACTCACGGGCTGCCTTCCCCTCTGTCCTGTCCCTTCTCCAGGCCCCTGAGGTCCCAGCATGTCCCAGCGGCACTCGGACAGCTCTTTGGACAAGAAGCTCCTGGAATACCGCTTCCATGCAGAGTTGCGGCTCGATGCCAACGGCAACCCAGCATCTGGGCTCCCCATGGTCCGGGACTCCCTGCAGGTCAGGGACAGAACCACTTTCCAACCAGAGGCCTCAGCACCACCAAAAGACATAGAGCCACCACAGCCCGTTATCCTGAGTACAGAGAGCCCCGCCGCCCTCAAGATGGGCACGCAACAGCTGATCCCCAAGAGCCTGGCCGTGCACAGCAGGGCAAAGGCACCAGCCCGCCACCAGAGCTTCGGGGCGGCCATACTCAGCAAGGAGGTGGCCCGGCGGAATCCTCGGCTCCTCCCGAGCCCCAGCTTCTCCCGGGATGACATGGATGTAGACACAGACTGGGGGAATCTGAAGCGGAACCTACGGAACCAATCCTACCGGGCAGCCATGAAGGGCCCAGGGACGCCGGGCGGCGAGGGGGACCCCACCCAGCTCACCCCACGGCTTCAGGCGCTGGCCGAAGAGCACAACCATCCCCCGCCTCGGTCCCCCGCCAAACACAAGGTAAGGCCCACACCTGGCTGGAGGATGTAGGGGCTGGGGTGGGGGACTGTGTTTCTAGGGGCCTTGGGAGTTTGTAAGTAGGGAGAGGGCCTGACCATCACCATCATCTTCATCACAATAGCTGCTATTAGTGACTGCCTTTGTGTGCAGGCACCAGGCTACATTCATTTGGGCCCAATGGCCAGGCTGTGTTCTGAGTGTAAATGTACCCCTTTCACAGTTGAAGTAGCAGGAAGTTGACACTGTCACCCAGGTCCAGGTTTTAACCCTCTCTGAGGTGGTCAGGCTGAGTGGCAGGTGTTGGTGACACATGTGGAGCACTGGCCATAGCTCAGACCTGCCTGAAGAGCTCTGTCTGAGATCAGAAGAGGCTGCATGCCACCTACAGCCACCACTCAGGCACCTGCAGCCCAGGTGGAGTAGATGGCCCTGGACCCCTGGACCCCAGTATCTTTGTCTGCCTCACATCTGACCTTTGCAGACAGCCACCAGCTGAGAGTCCATGAAGTTCAGGTCCATACCCATGCCTACTTGGTCTCCTACCCTGGTGGCCCTAGGGTCCTGCAGGGGACAGGATATGGGAGCTGACTAGGCCAGGAGACCCAAACCACTGGGGCTTCTGCAGCAGCCTGGGAAAGCCTGGAAGGTTCTTAGGGATGAAGCATAGAAGCCGGCCTGGCCCTAGGTTTTTGTGTGCTGGGTGCCCACCCAGGCTCACCCTGAAGCAGCCCCAGGTGCTCACTATGACCAGGCTAGGGCCTTGGCTGCTGGGTGAGCTTGGCAAGTTCTGGGCCTTCCTGAGCTCCAGCATCACTGTCTGTAGGTGCAGATAACTTGGAGGGGGGGATTCTCAAGAGGAGACTGTGTGGCCACAGGAGCCAAGGGCCATGCAGGGTGCTGAGTGGGAGACAGTGCTAAGCAGGGTGTCTGCTCTTGTGGTTTCCCCCATACATGGCCTTCTCTGCCCACAGCTCCTGCCCTGACCTAGTGGTGGCCTGCCCATGGACAGAGCCCCCAGTGTCCCCACTAGCAGCACTATCCTCCATCTATAGGGTTGGGATCTCTGCTGCTGTCCCCGCACCACCCAGGCTGGCCTGCAGCCTCCCTCAGTCATTCGCTGTGCATTCCTGTTCCCAGCAAATGCTTCTTGAGCACCCACTATGTGTTCAGGGGCTGGGGTTGTCAGCTCCCAGGGCTGTTGGAGGGCTCCAAGCAGGGGGCCATGTCAGAGGGGCACCCATGACCTCAGGGCCAACAGAGGATCCCAGAAGAAGGACAGGTGCAGGTACAGAAGGAGGGCAGAGACCTGTACAGAGACCCAGAGGTGGAGGGGGCAGGGGGTGGGGTCAGAGCATGCCCAGACAGGTGCAGGGCTGAGGGTGCAGGGCCAGCACAGCTTGGAGCATGCACATTCCAGACCAGCATGGGGAGTGTCAGGCCCCAACTCCCTGGAGAAACCAGCCCCTGCCTTCCCGGAACCAGCTCACCTGCAAGGTGGAGGAAATGATGTGTCTCGGCCAGGAAGTATGGGTTATACCTCAACATAAAGAAAATGAAAATCCTCACAAGTGGACCAATGAGCAATAAATGGAGAAAAGATTGAAGTTGTCAAAGATTTCACATTACTTGGTTCCACAATCAACACGGGAACAACAGTGGAAGCAGCAGTCAAGAACCAGACAATGTATTGGACTCGGCAAATCTCCTCCTTAAAAAGACCTCTTTAAAGTGCTCGACAACACATAACAACAACAACAACAAAAATGCTGAAGAGCAGTGATGTTTCTTTGAAGACTAAGGTACACCTAACCCAAACCATGGTGTTTTTAATCTCTTCAGATGTTTGTGAAAGCTGGACAATGAATAAGGAAGACTGAAGAAGAGTTGATGCGTTTGAGTTGTGCTGGCGAAGAATACTGAAAGTACTGTAGACTGCTAAAAGAACAAACAAATCTCCCTGGAAGAAGTGCACCCAGAATGCTCCTTGGAAGTGAGAATGGCCAGACTTCGTTTCATCTACTTTGGTCATGTTGTCACAAGGGACCATTCCCTGGAGAAGAATATCATGCTTGGTAAAGTGGAGGGTCAACGAAGAAGGGGAAGGCCCTCAAGGAGATGGACTGATATAGTGGCTGCAACAATGGGCTCAATGTAGCAAAGACTGTGAGGCTGGCACAGGACCGGGCAGTGTTTCATTCTGTTGTGCCCTATGGTTGCTATGGTTGCTATGGGTCAGAGCCAACTCAATGGCACCTGGCAACAACAACAACAACAACAAAGGCAGGAAGTCAGGCTGGGGCTGTGCACTAGCTGGTGGAGCCTCAAAATCCCCACCTTCTGTCACCCCTCCTGTTCCTCTCACCCATGATCACCTCTGCCCTCTGTCTTCCCTCCAGCAGCCACACATTCCACCCAGGGGAATGTGGCTGGACACTAACTAGCCGGTCCCTACTCTACCTGCTACCCCTGGGGACCTTGTCTGTGGCCTAAGCCCACCCACCCCCAGCATCCCTTCTCAGCCCCCTCCCAGCCACACTGGTCCTGCCCTGGGCTCTCCTCCAGACCCACTCGTACATCCAAAGCCCTATACCCTACTCTCCTAGCATCCCTCTCGACCAGGTCAGCCCTGTCTCCTCCTCCAGGTACTCCTCCTGACCGTGCCTTATCTGAGCCCACATTACACCTTGGCCCAGCTTCCTTAGCCCTGCTTGGTGACCCCAGCTCACCCCTCATAGCAGACAACTACTGAGTGCCTTCTGCATGCCTATCACAGGCCAAGCATGGGGTCTCTGGGCTTGGAACAGAGGGATTACCATAGTCCCACCCCTGCTCTCTGCCCTACTGACCTGGTGTCTGTCTCATTTGCTGCAGAAGATGCTGGGGCGGAAACGCGCACACAAGGGCTCCTTCAAGGATGGTGAGTGGCTCTGGAGGCAGGCTGGGCTCAGGCCCCAGTGGGAGCTGGTCTTGTGCTGCCCCCCCCCCATCCCCACTGGGGCCATCCTGGGTTCAGGGCTGCCCTGGGCTCAGTGACACAGAGGGGGTGCTTGCCTGATATCCTAATGCTTCCAGGGACTACTGATCCCAGGGCCATGCTAATGAGTCTGGAGAGGTCTAGAAGGTCTGCTATCCCAGAGGGTAGGGACAGACAGAGCTCCCAGCAGATGTTTGTCAGGTACCCTATGGGTGTGCTGGACCCATCATGGCCATGCTGGGAGGCCAATTCCAGATGAGGTAGGCCTGGCCAACAAGAGAGATGGACATAGATCCTCTGCTGGGTGCTGTGTGAGTCTTAGGGGCCCAGAGGATGCCTGCTGAGAGTAGGATGCCAGCAGGGCCCCCATATGGAAGGTCCAGGCATAGGTGTCCCTCCTGCTAGGTTGGGGTATTTGCCTGGGGGGACGTGGGCATTGAGCTCAAGGCCTTTGTCATAAGGCTCCAAGAGGGCCCTGCTAGCCTGCTTGCCCCAGAATCTTGGTGAAAGGGGCCATGGGCTTGTGAATAAGAGCATCAGGGCCCAAGTCTTCAGAAGAGTGGAAGGGATGCCTCAAATCTTGGAGTGAGGAGTGAGAGGGAGACGTGAAAGGGTTGCTGCAAGGGCTCAGGGTGCCCAGCCAGAGGGCCCGTGGCACCTGGCCCGGAGACAGACCCACCCAGAGCCTCCCCATGCTCCTCAAGCACTCAGATTGGTCGCTAGGCCTGGTTGGAGGTGCCACATTCTGCACTGGGCCGTCACCCCTCCTGCTCCACCCACCCATCATGGGAGCCATCTGGCTGGAGGGCAGCCTGCTCTGGGGGGCCTTGCGCCGCCTGTCACTCTCAGGGGCTCTGGGAGCCCAGCGGGAGGGCTCCTCAGCCTGTGGGTTATCAGATGGCCAGGCCTCAGAGCCCCCTGGCCCCCCGCAGGTGACGTGCCCCCTCCCCACAGATCCCCAGCTCTACCAGGAGATCCGGGAGCGGGGCCTGAACACCAGCCACGAGTCGGACGATGACGTGCTTGAGGACAATAATGGCCCCCGGAGGGTGGACACCCCCATTGTGGTCAAGAGCTACCGACCCGCCCAGGTCACCTGGAGCCAGCTGCCCGAGGTAAGGCCGGTACTAGGTGAGGACAGCCAGCAAGGGGGTCCGAGGTAACCCTGTGGTGGACCCTCTCTCAGCTGTGGTAGTCCACTTGACCCTGGCCTCCCTCTGAAGTGCCTGGTCAGTGCCCAACTGGCCCAGGGATCTCCCTGCTGGTGTCCCCAGAGCCATGCTGGGCCTGAGTGGGGAGAGAGCGGTGAGGGGTGCCTTTGTCTTCTAATACTATGTGTCTGTGTGTGTGTGTGTATGTGTGTGTGTGATGGATATGTCCACTCTCCCACTCAGCCTGACCTGCTGGGAGCTGGGGGCACAGATCCCCCTTCTTTCCAGGGCCCACACCAAGAAAGAGTTGTGAAGGGTCGTAGCAGAGGCAGACAGGGAGGAGGGCTGGGACTCTGAACTGGGGCCACGGCCAAGCTACTCCCCTCTCTTTTCCTTTTCTGCATCTCAGAATGGGGTGCTGTCCTGCCCTTCGTGGCTGTGGGGGCTTGGTGGACAGTGTTGGGGGGAGGGCTGGTGCTCTAAACAAGTCAGGGTGGGAGGGGGCAACACTACCCAGAAGGGCATGCTGCAGCCAGTATATGACTTGCAGACTAGTGTCCCGAGACCCTGAGGGCAGAAGAGGGGCGGAGCTGGCAAGAGGGTGGGTGGTGCCTGGCCCTGCATGCGGGTGGTCAGCTGGGGTGTCTGCAGCATAAGAGGCTCCTTGTTGACATTCCCCATGGGGGTGATGCTATGGCCGCCCCCCTGCCATACCATTGCTATGACTGCTGGCCAGAGGGCCAGTGGGGGTGGGGGGGCTTCCCCAGCAGATGGTAAGATCTGGAAATGCATGATTTTTTCCACCTGCCAAGTGCAGCTCCATTCCAGGAGCTGGGGGGCGGGGGGCGCGGGGGTTGGCAGTGGGTATGTGTAGGGAAGGGTGTTTTCTCCCCCATATCTGGGATGAGATCTAATAATCTGCACCCAGGAAAGCTGCAGAAGATTCTGACCACAGCCTGCCCCAGCTTGGAAGATCTTGGTTGAGTCACAGGGCTGGAGGAGGAAAGCAGGAGGGGTCTGGCCCCACCCAGAGAGGAGCTGAGTACAGGGGGTAGCCCTGCAGAGGGCACCTGGGCAGTGCCATAGGCCTAGCCCCATGCAGCTGTACGAGGACATGGCTCAGGGGCCCAAGTGAGCCACACTGCAGCCAGTGCGCCTGCAGGGCCTGATTCACCTGACGGAGGTGGTGTCTGAGTCACAGCCCAGCCTAGAGCTGAGCCTTCACACCCTGGGCAACAGCTCCGCTCCTGGGCAGGCTCCTGTCTTCACATCCCTGGCACATACCTTTGGAAGAAGGCAGGGCCTGCCAGTCTTTACCTTGGGGCCATCACACTTCACTGGGCTGCCCCAGGCTCCTTGGAGGCAGTGCAGGGCTGGTCTCCACGGGGAGCAGGGAAGGTACAGCCAGCCTGCAGCCTGTCTCCCTGTGCTCCCACCTGCAGCCATTCTGTGGTGGCCCTGCATAGGCCAGCCTAGCTCCTGACTTCCTGAAGTCTCTGTTCTCACTGTGGGCTCCTGTCTGGTGGAAGGTGGGATAGGGAGGGGATAGGAGGTGGCAGCTCACTCTGTCTCCTTCCCGGGCCATGCCCTCTCAGGTGATGGAGTCAGGTATCCTGGACACACTGCCCGCTGAGGAGCGCAAGAGGCAGGAGGTAAGAGGTGGGCTGCCCAGGAGGTGGGCAGGCCACACAACAGCCCAGGAAGGAGATCATGGCTACAGTGACATCATCCACTTGGTGCTGCTGGAGTGGGTACCTGCATGAGGGTGATGACCTTTGTGGATGTCACCCTCATGCCAGGCCCAGTCTGAGCCTTCCATTCCATATCCCTGACCCTCCCAGAGCCCTTGGGTGGGGTAGGGGGGGCACCTTGGCCCAGTGTCACATGGCTCATGGGTGACTGAGCCCAAGTGCAGGCCCACACTGGGCCCACATCCAATAGCAGCCATCCTGCTAGTGCTGCTCAGCTGTCTGTCTGGGTGTCCTGCCCACCCTCAACACCCCAGATTGTCCTTTTGTCTGAGCACTGTTCCCAGCATGCCTCTGTATGCCGCCCCTGTGCAGCTGCATAGTTCCTTCAACCCCATTTGAGGTGCCGGACGTGTGAGGCCAGGCTGCAGAGTCCAGCATCCCTCTTGTCACGTAGGCCATCTTTGAGATCCTCACCTCGGAGTTCTCCTACCAGCATAGCTTGGGCATCCTGGTGGCCAAGTTCCTGCAGTCAAAGGAGCTACGGGCCACCATGACCCAGACGGAGCACCACCATCTCTTCTCCAACATCCTGGATGTCCTGGGGGCCAGCCAGAGGTGAGCCCACACCACCACCCAGCATGCCCACATGTCCTTGGTCCCCAGACCTCCAGCACCCAGGGTGGAAGGTCACAGCACAGGGAAACCTTGTATCTGCAACCCTGAAGCCATGGAGAGCAGGTCCCAGGACCAAGGTAGGCACCAGGGCTGTGGTGGTCATGGTGCCCCCTCACCCCACCATTCACTCCACCACTGCTCTCAAAGGGCATGCCACCCCTCTGGTGGGTGCAGAGGGCCACCATGATGCCCATAGTACAAGTGTACAGGTGGGGAGCCCTGGCTGCTGCCATCAAGCAAGTGGGGCCCACAGGCTGGAGTGGTGCCAGGCCATTTGCCTGACTCAGACTTGGCCTCAGGTTGCAGCCATTGGGTCATGTTCTGTGTGCTGGTGTCCGGTGGCCCTGAGCTGGCCATCAGCTCTGGTTGCAAGATTGGGGGCCAGGGAGGAGGGCCGGACTTGTGCATGGGAGTGTGTATGTTCATGTGTGTGTGTACCTGTGTGGAGGGCTCGGGCCTACAGGAGTGTGTGTGTGTGCACCTCTGTGGAGGCTCATGCCTGTAAGTGTGTATCTGTGTGTGCATGCATGCATATCCCTGGAGGCTCAGGCTAATGGGAGTGTGTGAGAATGTGCATGTGTGTGCATGTTTGTATGTGTGTGTACCTCTGTAGAGGCTCAGACCTGCAGGAGTGTGTGTGTGCATACATGTGTGCCTCTGTGGAGGGCTCAGGCTTTCAGGAGTGTGTGTGTGTGTGCGTGCGTGCCTGCATATGTGTGTGAATGCTCCGGTAGCATAGTGGCTAAGGCATTTGGCTGCTAACCAGAAGGCAGGCTGTTCAAACCCACCAGCCACTCCTCGGAAGGAAGATGGGGCAATCTACTTCTGTAGTGATACTGCCTCGGAAACCCAAGGAGGGGTCGCTATGAGTTGGGTCCGACTCGACGGCACATAACAACAACAGCAGCAATGTGTGTCCATATGTGTGTTTACCTCTATGGAAAGCGCAGGCCTACAGGAGTGTGTATGTGTGTGTGCATGTGTGTGATGTGTGTGGAGGTGTGTGTGTACCTTTGTGGAGGGTGCAGGCCTAGAGGAGTGTGTGTGTGTGTGAGTGTACATTTGTGTGTGCATATGTGTGTACCTCTGGAGGGCCCAGGCCCACAGGAGTGTGTGAGTATGCATGTGTGTGTGCATACATATGTATGTGTATCTCTGGAGGGTACCAGCCTGCAGGATTGTGTATTTGTGTGTCCATATGTGTGCTTACCTCTGTGGAAGGCTCAGGCCTTCAGGAGTGTGTGTGTGTGTGTGCAATGTGTGTGGAGGTGTGTGTACCTTTGTGAAGGGTGCAGGCCCACAGGAGTGTATGTGAGAGTGTGTACATTTGTGTGTGTATGTGTGTACCTCTGTGGAGGGCTCGGGGCCACAGGAGTGTGTATGTGTGTGTGGCGTGTGTGTGCCTCTGCGGAGGGCACAGGCCTGCATGAGTGTGTATGTGTTTGTTTACTCGGTGGAGGGCATGGGCCCGTGTGTGTGTGTGTGCATGCATGCATGCAAGAGTTTACCCTGAAGAGGGTATGGGTCCACGACTATGTGTGTATCACAGAGATGAGTGTGTGTATTTACCCTTAGAGGACCCAGGCCCATTTGCAGGTGTGTGTGAGTGTGTATGTGAGTGTGTGTGTGTGTGTGTGATTACCCCATGGAGGGTGCAGGCCCGTGGTACTCTGTGTGGATGCATCCTGCTCTACCCTGTTCCCCCGAGACCCAGGGGCTTCTCAAGCCTCAGCCTCCTCCCTCACACAGAGGACTAGCACCACACAGGCTGGGAGGGGTTGGTGGCATGATCAGGGGAACACAGTGCCCAGCAGGCAGTCAGGGTGTGCTCTGGGAGCATGGGGACTGCTGGTTATCAGTGTCAGCCCCTCCCCTACTGAGCCCCACCCAGGAATCTGCTTCCTGTGCCCCGCCCCCCAGGGAAGTGTTAGGACTATGAAGTAGGAGTGGGTGACTACCCATCCCTGAGGAAGGACTTTCAACAACTGGCTGCCATAGGCAGCTCTCATCTCTGCACTTAGGGCAGCTGCCCCTGCCTGGTCCCCAGAGTAAGGGGGAGGGGACGGGAGGGCCCCCCCCCCCACCATCCTCTCTTCTCCTGACCTCAGCAGGGCCTCTGACGGTCCCTGGGGAGGGACAGTACGGGTCCTCCCCCAGCCAGGCCCCACAGCAGCTATTGGCCACCCATGGTAGAACCCTTCACCTCTAGGAATTGGTGTTATTTTGGGTCAGCAGCTGACGGCCACTCCCCAGACCTTTCTCAGGCCCCAGAAACCTGTAAACCACCCAGTTGTGATGTTGACCACCCCCCCACCCCACACACACTGGTATGACCCTGCATCTAGGAGCAGGGGCTCCTGCTCCCCTGAGTCTTCATCTGAGGGGACCTCAGTTCCCAATTCTGATAGCTGTTCCCATCTGCTGAGCACTCCCAAAGCAGGCAGGCAGGCAGGCTAGAGAATGTCCTATTTACAGGAAGTGTGGACCCCGCATGGGTGGAGGGTCAGGCTGAGGCCGAGAAAGCAGGGGGTGCCTGAACGACCCCCTTCTGCCTCCAAACTGAGCCTTCTTCCCTTCCCCCAAGGCCCTTACCAGGCCTGCCCCCCGCTGGCCCTGATAACTGAGTGAGGCCTGAACTTTGCAGAGGGCAAGTGGGGGCACCAGTTGATAGGGTCACTAACTCGTGATGCTTCTGCCCCAGGTCCAGGGTGGGCTGGTGTGGGTCCCTTGTTGCCCTGGAAACCCCCACCAGCCTCAGAACTGGGGAGCTATGACCTCCTCCTGACCCCACCCCACGTCTCCCCGGGCTAACAGGACCAGTGTTTTCCCTGATGTGTGTGGGCCTTTCTGTGGGCTGGGCCAACCAGCTGGGGAAGGCGTGCCCCCATGTCACATGTCCTTTGGCCGAACGCACCCTTGTGCTTACCACCTGGGCAGGGAGACAGAAGGTGATGGGCGGGGAAGGCTGACCTCCATGTCTCATGTGAGGGGACTCTGCCCTCCAACCTCCAGATGTCAGCCTCACTATCTCTGTCCTCAAGACAGGCTACTTAGGGCAGGGCCAAGAGCAAATAAGTAAGGTCTGGAACACAGAACCAAGTAGCAGAGTCAGAAGCAAAATCATCAGGGCTTTATGCACAGAATTGACTTGGGAGAGGTGACAGCTGTCAGGGTGAGACCAGCTCAGGCTGAGGGCCCAGCAGGGAGGGGCCAACAGGGAGAAGGCTTCTCAGAGGACAAAGAACTCGGAAGGGGAGCTGCCATTCTGGGCCCTGTAGGTGTGGTGGGCCCTGGAGGGGTGATAAGGCCTTGGGGTTCAAGACCTTCCAGGTCTGCACAATCACACGTGGCCCTGCCCCACCCAGCCAAATGGTTCCATCCTCATATTCCTGCACCAAGGTACAGGAAGGCCATGTACATAGAGGCCCAGAAGAAGCCCAGCTGGAAGTGGAGACTGGCTGTACCTCCAGGGTATCTCCCCTCAGCCAGGCCCTCACCCCCTCCTTGTCCTGCCTTAGCCAACTTGCTCACAAGCTGAGGACAGGTTGAAGCCCTGTGGAGAGACTGTGTCTCCCTCCTGCTTGGAGCCCAGCTCCTTAGGGTCCCAAAGACAAGGTCCCAGGGTAGCCCCTCTGCCCCTCCAGGAGGCTGGGTGGCTTGTGTCTCCCCCTGCCTTGTGGACAGAGTGTCTCTCCCCATGCTTGTTTCCACATTGGAGGTGTGGCTCAGGACTTGAGAGCTACCCAGCTGGATGCTTCCCTGGGGACTCAGGCAGTGTGAGCACCAGGAGCCTCCTGGCCTGTGACATCTCTGAGCAAGGTGGCTCGGGGGCCAGGCCATTCTGCAGCATTCTGCCTCCCTCCCCATCAGACCCAGTTAGGAGGGATGGCTCTACCATAAAGGAGTCCCAGGAGCACTGCCAGGCTGGGTTGGGGGGATCCCAGCCCGCAGGGTCTCACAGTGACACACACACACACACACACCATCCAGGCAGGCCTATTAGCAAGTCCTCAGCTCAGCGCTTCTCTGACCTCAGGCAAGCCCTTCCCCTTCCCTTGGTCTCCCTAGTTTCCCTTCTAGCAAGGCACACAGGGGCTGGGCTTGTCCATGATGGACAACACGCTGTGTCTGGACCAAGGTGAATAGGCCCCTGGTAGATCACTATGGGGCTGACCGACGGCCCAGGGAACTGAGGCAGCAGGGCTTTCGGTTATGAGGTCTCCACCCACAGTCTCTGTCCTGGATGCCCCTCAGAATCAACATCCAGGGCAATGTGGCCTCAGGTTTGCCCCGTGGCTAAAACACAAACCAGACTCACTGCCGTGGAGTCAGTTCAACTCATAGTGACCCCTTCTTGGGTTTCTGAGGCAGTATCTCTATGGAAGGAGATTGCCTGATCTTCCTTCTGAGGCCTATGGCCACACACACCAATATTTTGGGTTCATGGAGCTGATCTTCCATGGTGTAGTCCAGGGATGGCCATGGCTTACAGCTACCAGGTCCTGGCCTGGGTCCCATCTGGGGTCCCCATTGGCTTAAGCAGCAATCCGCTGAGCCCCAGGCACCTCTGGCAGCCTAGCTTATCTCTTACCAGGCATGCCGTGTGTGTGCATGAATGGATGTGTTTATATGTATATGCATGTTTATACACATGTGTATTTTAATGGCATGTGTACATGTGTGTGCTCATGCATGTGCATGTTTGTATATGTGTACGTGTGTGTTCATACATATGCATGTGTCTGTGTACACATGTATGTTTGTGCCTGTCTTTGTGTATGTGGCATGTGTGGCAGAGGACCACTAGGACCATGACCTTACCCCCTCCCCCTCATAGGTTCTTTGAGGAATTGGAGCAGCGGCACAAGGAGCAGGTGTGCATAGAGGACATCAGCGACATCCTGGAGGACCACGCTGAGCACCACTTCCACCCCTATGTGGTCTACTGCTCCAATGAGGTCTACCAGCAGCGCACCTTGCAGAAGCTGACGTGAGTGCCCAGCCCCGAAAGAGGGTTGACCCATGGTCTCTGGAGCAGAGTGCTGTCACCTGCAGCCCAGTGGCTCTAGCTGCTAGTTTCTGGGGGGGTCTCAGGAGCACCATGTCCTCTGTTGCAGAAACAGCAATGCCACCTTCCGTGAAACCCTGAAGGAGATCGAGCAGCAGCCTGTGTGCGGGGGCCTGCCCATGATCTCCTTCCTCATCCTCCCCATGCAGAGGGTGACCCGGCTGCCCCTCCTGATGGATGTGAGTCTGGGCTGGGATGCTAGAGCCCCTACCTAGGGGTCAGCTCTGCTCTCTTGTAGCTGCTCATCACTCTTGGCCTCTCTGTGAGGTGATTGACACAGGGTGGTTTTAGTGGTTGATCTAACAACCATGCTCCTGCACCCCACGCACTCCCTCCATTGGGTGTTCCCACATCGATGGGCCCTCCCAGACCCCTTCATGGCACCTGGGTGGTGCCTCCTCTACCCCCTCCTCTTCTCTGTCCCCAAGACCCTTGGGGGTGGCAGGAACCAAAGGTCATCCACATGTCATGGGTGAAGAACACAGGCTCAGCATTCCGTGGCATGGTCGGCCCATGGGGCAGAGATAGGGACTGCCAGGATGATGGAGAAGGCCAAGAATATGAAAGAGGTAGCCCAAAGGGGATGTGCCACCTCCAGGGACCCACCCAACATGGCCTGACCTGGTTGCACAGTGAGCTGGCAGTACAGTGGCTATTTAGGGCCTGGAGCACCAGGCACCTGGCAGGAGACTGCTGGTGGCCAACCCTTGACCTCCTACACTTGCCCCCACCGCAGGCTCTGGTAGTGGGGAGAGCTCCTGCACCTTGCAGGACTCTGGCCCTCATATCAATGCCTTCTCTCCAGACGCTCTGCCTCAAGACACAGAGCCACCCTGAGAGGTACAAGGCTGCCAGCCGTGCCCTGAAGGCCATCAGCAAGGTGAGGTGGGGTCTAGACAGGGGCCACACCTTGTTCTACGTCCCTCCTCTGCCCCAAGGGTGCTTAGACACCAAGGAAAGGGGCCAGAACAGGTCTCGGATTATCCATCTGGAGTTTTGCATGGTATCAATGGGGAAACTGAGGCCCAGAGCAGAATGGAGCTTATCCCAGTCCATCGGTGGTCTAGGACCACACCCAGCATCCCCCTCTGCTCAAGGCAGGTGGTTGATGGGATACCCTGTCCCACATCCACCCACCCACACATGCACCCCGCCTCACAGCTAGTGAAGCAGTGCAATGAAGGGGCACACAAGATGGAGCGTACCGAGCAGATGTACACGCTGCACACGCAACTCGACTTCGGCAAGATCAAGGTAAGCTCAGCAGTTCATGACCCCTACCCTCAGCTTCCCAGGGCCTCTTCCAAGCCCAGTGCCTGCTGTCCTGAGCCTAAACGTTAGGGTCAGGACAGGCCCCCGGAAGCTAGAGCAGGTACATCCAGGTAGGCCGCCCTTCTTGCCCCTGTGCCAAATCCTGGACCGGGCCTTATATCCAACTCCAGCAGAGCATACAGCAGGTGCTCAGTGAGCTTGGGGCCTGGCCGGGGCTGCTGGCCACCTGAATGGCCCTTTGTTTGAGGCCTGGACTCAGCTGTGTCTCCTGCCCAGCGGGTGAGCGGGGTCACTGTTCTCAGGACAGGATTGGTTACCAAGCTGCGGCCCAAGGACACTCCTTCTGGGCCAAACTTCCTTACATCCACCCCCTCGGGGCTTGCTTACCTTTGGCCCTATCCACAGTCCCTCCCACTCATCTCTGCCTCCCGGTGGCTGCTGAAGCGTGGAGAGCTTTCCCTGATAGAAGACACTGGACTCTTCAGAAAGATTGCTGGCCGGCCAACCTCCTATCTGTTCCTATTCAATGACTACCTGGTGGTGACTAAGAAAAAGAGGTGGGCCTGCATCCATGGCGAGTTGCTGCATCCCTCTGTGGAGGGCTGACCCTGAGAGGGACTTGACGAGGGAGGCTGGGGCCAGCGCAGGCGGGGGAGCTCTGCCTCAGCCTGGCCTGTCCATGGCCACAGCCTGGGCCCTTCTGCTCAAGGACACATGCCCCTCTGCTTGGCTCTGGCTTCCACCTGCTGACCCCGGGTGACCTGACCTTGCTTGGCCTCTGTTGTCCAGACTTGGGTTGGGGGAGGTAGATAGGTAGCTCCCTTGGAATTGCACTTTGGAGCTGGAGGGTGGTGCTCCAAGGCTGCCTGCCCAGAGCCACGACTGCAGCATCTAACTGATGGCCTGTCCCCAACAGTGAGGACAGCTATGCAGTCCAGGACTACGCTCAGATTGAACACATCCAGGTCCAGAAGCTCGAACCCTCAGACCTCCCTTTGCCAGGTGGCAGTAATCGCGCCTCCTCCGTGCCATACCCCTTCCTGGTGACCATGCTGCACAACAGTGAGGGCCACCAGGAGCAGCTCCTGCTCTCTGCCGACTCCGCGTAAGACTCACTGCTCAGACCCAGCACTGACCATCACCCACTAGGCTGTAAGCCCCAGAAGGGGTGGGAGCAGTCATGACTCAGCATCGCTCATCCCCCCAATGCCTGCTGAGCACCAGCTGCATGTCTGACACTGGTGTAGCCAGGGATGGGGCCAGGAGCACCAGCAGCCTCATTCTTGATGCAGTTTCCATTGAAGGGAAGGGACACGCATAGAAAGTATGGAACTGGTGGTGGTGGGGTAGTGGTGAGCATAACCTCCTGAATGAGTCTGAACTTTCTAGTGTCTCATAAGCACAAGAACTAAAGGGAAAAATCAGGCAGGGAAGGGAGCCCTGGGTAGGGGAGCTCATAAAAAGGGCCTCATGGACAAGGGGAGGTCTGGGTCAAAAACCTGCTGGAGGGAGGGAGAGTGGGCACCTGGTTGGAAGTGTTCCTGGCAGGACATGGCTGTGCAAAGGCCTTGGGGCAGGAGCAGCAAGGACAGTGAGGGGGAGCGTCAGGGCAGGGGAGGGTCAGGAAGGCAGCGTATAGAGCAGGTGCTGGCAAACAGTGGGGCTCCATCGATGTGCAAGGATGGGAGGGGCTTGGTCCGTGTCTCCTCCAAGCCTTCCTGTGGAGGCAGCATGGACCCCCTTTCAGATCAAGAGACTGAGGTGAGCATATTGAATAGCAGGATCGTCAAGGAGCAGGGACCTCAGAGAAAGGGCTGCCTGGGGCTGGAAGGCTGGGTCTGCAGCTACCCCTGGTCCCAAGACCCTGGACAAGTCACCTAATGACTAGCCTTTTCTATGTCCTGGCATCCTTTGATGTGTGATGGGGAGACAGCCAGAGCACAGGGGTCATCAGAGGGTCCAGGGAGGCATCCTCATGGGATGCCTGGCTAAGGCCCTACCCACAGGGGGATGCTGGCACTGTGAGTGCTGCAGTGGACGTTTGGATGCTATCCCCTTGCCTTTTATGGCTGTGGCTGAGCTTGCAGCAGAAGGGACTTCCAATGAGAAGCCAAGGGACCTCCATCTGTGTTCCCACTGGGATACACAGGAAGTGATCTGCAGGGAGCCAGAGTTGAGGGTCACTGGCTGGAAAGCCCAGAGGCAGGCCAGCCTCGGGGCCTCACTTGTGCTCTTTCTGGCCCCCAGGAGTGACCGGGCACGGTGGATCATGGCGCTAGAACACAGGGAGAGACAGGGGAAAGGCCATGTCAACAAAGAAGGTAAGCTGAGGGATGGGAGCAGGTAACCTCTTTCTTGGCCTTGGGGGAGATGGCCTGGAGAGTTGGGGCATAGTCCAACTCTCTGTCCCCACTACAGCCTGAGTCCAGGGCAGCCTACCCAGGTGAGGGGACCCTGGTACGTGTGCATCCACCTCTGTCTTTATCATCAGCCCTTCACAGGACCTTGACAGTCTGCAACAAGAGAGAACACCACTCTGTGTCTAGTACTTGGGAAACTGAGGCCCATGCCACAAGGTGACTGGCCATTAGGTCTGTCACTTAAGAGGCTGGGAGATTTGGCCCTGAAAGCAGAAGCAGCCTATCTATCATGCAGCCTCTGGAGGGGCCACCTTAGCCCGCAGTGAGCAAGCTGCCACCTCTCTGTGTGCTGGGACTCCCAGAGGTCCTCACATCATGGGGACCCAGCCTCTGGCCATGTCAGCTGGCAGCCATCGTTCCATGAAGGGAGGGTAGATCCTGCAGAGCTCTGAGACCCCTTCCTGATGGTCTTGGCACTGATGCCTCTTCCTCCCGCCCCCAGACCTGCAGCAGGTGGAGGTCATCAAAGCCTACTTTGCCAAGCAGGCGGATGAGGTGTCACTGCAGCAGGCCGATGTAGTCCTGGTCTTCCAGCAGGAGGATGGTGAGCTGACAGGGGGCAGGGGACAAGAGTGTGTGGGGCCCAGGCGAGAGCCCTGTAAGCAGTCAGGCAGTGTGTACACCATGACTTTGTGAGGTCTTATTGAAAGCCCTGTGGCAGCCTCCCTCAGGACTCCTCCAAAGGGTGAGGGGCTCTCATGTCCCCATCGGCAATCACGAGTTGGCTCAGTCTCACCACTTAGGGAGAAGAGGTGTTCCCACTGCTCCTTGGGGGTGCCTCTCAGCCTGGGGACAAGCAGCTCGTTCCAGAGCCCTGGAAGCAGCTGGGTGGGATGGGCCCAGCCCCCGCCCTCCTTCCCAGTGACCACACCCTGAACAGAAGGACTGGGGCCCAGTCTGTCACTGGTCACTTCTATCCTGTTTCTCTCATGTGGCAGCAGGGCCGGTGTTTGATTTCCAGCCCTGGAGTCTTCCAGAACAGCAGCTCAGGGGCTGTCAGGGTGCTGACATCCAGAGCAGGCCCCTCTCACCCCCTCTCCATCCACTCAGGCTGGCTGTATGGTGAACGGCTACGGGACGGGGAGACGGGGTGGTTCCCCAAGGACTATGCCTGCTCCATCACCAGCCGTGTGGCCGTGGAGGACAACGTGCGCCGGATGGAACGGCTGCGTGTGGAGACAGATGTGTAGACAGCTGACACCTTGAAGGCTGCAGCCATGGGCTAATCAGTGCCTGGGCTTCTGGGAATGTGTGGACTTGTCCCAAGAGCCCTGACAGTGCTGGGGTCTTCCTAAGGCCCCCGCCCCCATCATGGGGAAGGTCCATACTACCCTCCTGTGAAGCACCGCTAGGTGGACGTGGGGCCAGCCAGGTCTGACCCCTGCAAGTCCAGCTGGAGGAGCCCACCCAGGCCCCATTACTGGTCCTCCCCAACCCAGCTCCTGGCCGCCTGGAGCCTGGCCCTGCACCCCTGCACTCTCCAGTTTATGATGCTGATGTGGGGTGATCAGCAAGAACGATGTGGGGCCTGCACCCTTCTGCTTCCCACTCCTGTGTAGTACAAAGGCCACCCCTCAGTCACAGAGGAGGGCCAGCCGAGAAATTGTATCTTTGAAGTTTCCAGAGACATTAAAGTATTTCTTTAAAATTTGGGTTTCCACAGTGAATCAGAGCGAGGCATAGGCCACAGTCATCTGTGTCCCAGTGAAATCCTGGAGGTTCCCTGGACCAGGACAGGCCTCATCACCAATGGGGCTCAGACCTAGTGGTGACCTCAGTGAGCACTCCCCTTTACTCACCTCTCCCTTCACCTCCTCTCCACGTCTGTGTGCTTGATGTGCACACACCTTTGTGTGTTCTTGCAAATAGTGCCCTTGGGCAGTGGTTGGAGGAGTAGTTTACATAAAGGTGTATGCTGTAGACCTTATAAGGACTTCTGGTTGTGCAGTGGTTAAAGCATTCAGTTGCTAACCAAAAGGTGGGCAGTTCGGACCCACCAGCCACACCATGGGAAAAAGATGAGGCAGTCCGCTTCCATAAAGATTTACAGCCTTGGAAACCCTATGGGGCAGTTCTGCTCTATCCTATAGGGTCACTGTGAGTCAGAATCAACTCAGTAGCAGTGGGTACAGACCTCATCCTAATGTCTCAACATGGTTTTTAGGACTTGTCCATGCTACTGCATGCACACATGGCTCACTGTTTCTGATCACTTTGGAACATTGTGCCGCCGTCACGTGCGTTCAGTACGTTTGACTTATCCATTCTGCTAGTCTACCCTCCAACAATCTCTGCTCCCTCTACAAGAGAGGTGAGTGTCCTGGGGCACCTGCTGGTGTCCAGGAGCATCATTGCTGGTAGGTCTTCAGGACAGAGCCATTAATGTTGCCCCATTGCTCTGAGGCTCAGTCTGAACGCTGTATTTCCCAACAGTGCCTGATGGTTCCTGTCTCCTCACGCCTCACTCAGGACCCATGATGCTCCAACTGTTGTCCCACGGGAGCAAAGCCTGGTACTACTGTCTGGATGTGCATATCCCTGGCCTTAATGAGGCTGTGTGTCCTCTGAACACTCATGTCCTCGCCTCTCTGTTAGTGGATTTGTCACCATCCTTCATTCTTGATGTCAAACCCTTGCTCAGTTAGACATCACAGATTGCTTTGCTCCTCCCAGGTGTCTCCTGTGAACACTTGGGGGCTTTCATGGAACAGACTGAAATTGAACAGAATGGCATTTTGACAATGTCAAATGGTCCTCCCTAACACTGGTCAAAGGAGCGCTAGTGGCACAGTGGTTAAGCACACTACTGAAACATTGGTGGTTCAAACCCACCAGGCACTCCACATGAAAAAATGTTGCAGTTGGCTTCTGTAAAGATTTCTCTTAGGCACCATAGAGTTGGTTCTGACACATACAACCCTGATTGCGACAGAAGGAAATACTGCCCGGTCCCGCACCACCCTCATAATCGTTGCTATGTTTGAGCCCATTGTTGCAGCCACTGTGTCAATGTATCTCATTGAGGGTTTTCCCCTTTTTCTGTGATCCTTTGCCAAGCATGATGTTCTTCTTCAGGGACCAGTCCCTCCTGATAACATGACCAAAGTACATGAGATGAAATCTGGCCATTCTTACTTCTAAGGAGCACTCCAGCTGTATTTCTTCCAAGTCAGATTTGTTTTTTCTTCTCTAACACCTTAATTCGGATGCATCAATTCTTCTGTGGTCTTCCTTATTCATTGCCCAGCTTCCACGTGCATATGAGGCTATGGGAAATACCATGCCTTGGGGTCAGGTGCACCTGAGGCTTCAAAATGACATCTTTACTTTTTAATACTTTAAAGAGGTCTTTTGCAGCAGATGTGCCCAATGCTATCAGTACCTTGAGTTCTTGACTGCTGCTTTCATGGATGTTGATTGTGGATACAAGTAAAATTAAATCCTTGACAACTTCAATCTTTTCTCCATTTTACCATGATGTTGCTAATTGGTCCAGTTGTGAGGATTTTTGTTTTCTTTATGTTGAGGTGTAATCCATGCTGAAGGCTGTAGTCTGGGATCTTCAGGAGTAAGTGGTTCAAGCCCTCTTCGCTTTCAGCGAGCAAGGTTATGTCATCTGCATATCACAGGCTGTTAACGAGTCTGAATCTTTAAGGGGGATTAATTAATTCAAAAATGTTTGAGTCCCTACTTGGTTTGAGTCCTGTTCAGGTGGTTCCATCGTGAAGCAAGCAAAGCCTCAGGCTCTGCAGACTTTGCCCCATGATGGAGAAGGGAAATCAAAGAGCTAAAGGATGGAATATTAGGGCCATGAAGAAAAATAATGCAGAGCAGGAGAGAAGACAGCATTGGATGGTACTTAATTACGGAGCATGGAAAGCATCTCTGAGATAGTATCATTTAAACAGAGACTTCAATTCATTGCTCATTCAACAGGATGTTTGCAATAGATTCTTAATCTATATCCATCATCAAGAAAGATCCTTTCTGTACCCAGTTTTCCAAGAATGTGTATCCTAAACAGGCACTGAGCTCTGTAGAATGCTCTTTGTGCTTCTATTAAGACAGATCATCATATTTCTCTTTTCATCCAAATACACGGACACATTTTCTGATGTTAAAGTGTCCTTGTATTCAGATCATCCACCTTTGATCAAACTGGTATTTTTAAATATTTTTGAGCACCTAATCTTTTATTTAAGAGCTCTGGTAGCATAGTGCCTAAGGCACTTGACTGCTAACCAGAAGGCTGGCAGTTCAAACCCACCAGCCACTCCTCGGAAGGAAGATGAGGCAATCTACTTCCGTAGAGATACTGCCTCGGAAACCCAAGGAGGGGTCGCTATGAGTCGGGTCTGACTCGACGGCACATAACAACAACAACAACAACAACAACAATCTTTTATTTAGGATCTCTGCATATGTGTGCTGAGTCTGTAATTGTCTTGTACTGTCCTCACCCAGTTTTAGAACCAAGATCATACTAAAAAAAAAAAATAATAATTCACTGCTGTCGAGTCAGATCCGACTCATAGCAACCCCTCCTTGGGTTTCTGAGGCAGTATCACTAAAGAAGTAGATTGCCCAACCTTCCTTTGGAGGAGGGGCTGGTGGTTTGAACCGCCAGCCTTCTGGTGAGCAGTCAAATGCGTTAGGCACTATGCCACCAGAGCTCCCAAGATCATACTGGTCTCATTCAATGAGTTGGCCCACCTTCCCACTATTTAGTTTCTGGAACAACTTGTATTAGGATCAAGAGTGTCTTGAGAGTCTGGCACAACCACCTATATAAATAAACATCTGTACCTAGGGTTAGTGAGAGTGGGTTAGCTGCGTCGACTTAAGTTACTGGTTTATAAACATGTTTTAATTACTATTCACACCAGGCTTAGCACTTTATATTTTTCCTGAAATGCATCCATTTTTCTGAGATTTCAAAGTTAGCAGGCATACAGTTGTTCACAATATTCCTTTTTATGTTTTCATTTCTATTGTATCTGTGGTTAATTCTCCCTCCTTCTCCTGTATGTTTTCTTGCATTCTTTCTGTTTTCATAATGTCTTGATAATGTTTTATCTTTCTTCCTAGTCTTCAAAGAAAACTTTTGTGAAGGGTTCCATTTGCTGAGTATAAAGTGTACATAGATAAATATAAATATAAATATATAGGTGCTAAAGCTTACTTAGACTTTTATCATTGCTTACATCTTGTTGGCTTACCATATTAAAACAAAAACCAAACTCACTGCCATGAAGTTGATTCCGACTCAGAGCGACCCCGCCTTGGTTTTCCAAGGTGTTGTCTCTACGAAACTAGATTGCCCAACCTTCCTTCTGAGGAGTGGCTGATGGGTTTGAACCACCAGCCTTTTGCTTAGCAGTCAAATGCCTTAGGCACTACACCATTAGAGCTACTACCATACTAGTTTTTGTAAAGAGCACACTGAAATCACCAGGTATCATTATTTGTTTCTGCCTGTTATGTCCATCATCGTTTTATGTATGTTTGATGCTCTACTGTTATATATGTATGTAACATTTACATATATATATATACTTCTATATATATACACACACAACAACTTAACGCTTCCCACCTTGAAATAGTAAAACTTCTACCCCAGATTTCTTTGGGTTTATTCCTATTTATATCCATGTAAATGTCTTCTAGTCAGCATTGTTATTGTTGTTATGTGCCAGTTATGTGCCATTGAGTCAGACCTGACTCCTAGTGACCTCTTCTTGGGTTTCCAAGGCGGTATCACTACAGAAGTAGATTACCCAACCTTCCTTCCAAGGAGTGGCTGGTGGGTTTGAACCGCCACCCTTCTTGTTAGCAGTCCAGTGCCTTAGGCACTATATGCTACCAGAGATCCTTCTAGTAACATGGATAATTTCTAATGCCATCTAGGAATCTCTCTTTTGATTATCAATCCATTTGTAAACACACACATTCATTGTCCTTACTATTGTATTAGAGTTGTTGACCTATTTTCTATTATTATGCTTTATTTTTCCTTCTTTCTCCTTTCTATTGCATAAATCAAATTTCTTCCAGATGGTTTGAAACTTAACATCCTATCAGTATTCCTGCCGTGGTTAAAAAAAAAAAAAAAAAATCCATTGCCACCAAGGCAATTCTGACTCACAGCAACCCTATGTGTTACAGAGTAGGACAGCTCCATGGGACTTTCTTGGATGTAGTCTTTATAGAAGGAGATTGCCAGGCCTTTCTTCCACAGCACCACTGGGTGGGTTCAAATCACCAACCTCTAGGTTAGCAGCTGATCACAAATCACTTCCACTGTGGTGGTTCCAGCTTGTCAGTTAAGGTCTGCACTTATGTTTACCTACCTTATCACTTTCTGTAGCTTATCAAAGTCTCTATCATTCAACAAACAGGAAGTGCCTTAGCACATCCCGTCCTCTGCACCCCACTCTTATCTGTAGTTTCAGTTGTGGATCAACATCAGTATTTTGATTCTTCTAATTACTAAGTTGTAAGGAGCTCTGGTGACACAGTGATTGAGGCAATTGGCTTCTAACCAAAAGGTAGGGGTTTGAGCCGACCAGCCACTCCATGGGAGAAAGATGAGGCAGCCTACTTCCATAAAGATTTACACCCTTGAAAACCCTATGGAGCAGTTCTACTCTGTCCTATAGGGTTGCTATGAGTTGGAATGACTCAGTGGCAATGGGTTTTGGTTTTTTAAAATTACTAAGTTATGTGGGGAATGTTGTGAATAATTATCTCATAGCACCCTCCTGGATTTCTTTCTCTTTTTGCTGAATAATTTCCTCTAAGAGCAGATTTTTTATGGTACCTAAGATTATCTTTGACTTAGCACTTCACCAATAGTTTAGCTGGATATAAAATTCAAGTTTCAAATTTTTTCTTCAACATTTTGAAAATAGAACATGACTGTTGTCTTGCTTTCGGTGTTTCACTTGTGAAGTTTAATGTCAATATCACTTCTATTCCCAGAAATCTGGGACCTTTAGAATTCCTCTTTGTCCCTCAAGTTTTTAAAGTTCTTTAGACTATGGCTTTTTCTTTCTATCCTGTTATGCAACTTTGAACCCTTCCAGTTGAGATCATTCATCTTTAAATCGGACAACTTCTTGTTCATTATTTATGTCAATTGTTTTTCCTTCTCTTTTTCTGGGCTTCTAATACAATATTTTAAAATTATTATTAGATTAAGGACCCCTGGTGGTACAGAGGTTAAGTGCTCAGCTACTAAGTAAGAGGTTATCTGTTCAAATGTACCAGATGCTCTGCAGGAAAAAAAAAAATATGGCACTATGCTTCCATAAAGATTAGTCTTGGAAACCCTATAGGGCAGTTCTACTCTGATCTGTGGGGTTGCAATGAATCAGAATTGACTCAACAGCAACAGGTTTGGTATTATTTGTAAGTTTGGTATCGTTTGTACTCTTTTTAAAAAAAAGATTAGAGGGCTGTAGTGGTTCATTGGAAGAATCTTCTCCTTCATGCAGATTCGATTCCCAGCCAGTGCATGCCATGCACACCCACCACCTGTCGGTCACTGGAGGCTTGCAAGTTGCTGTGATGTTGAACAGGTTTCAGTGGAGCTTCCAGACTCAGACAGACTAGGAAGGAAGGCCTGGCCATATACTTCCAAACATCAGCCAGTAAAAACCCTATAAATGTCAATGATCTGATCTGCAACCAATCACAGGGACAGGGCAGGACCAGGTGCCTGCTCTCTCCCTTGTGCCATTTCTCTCCCTTGTGCAAGGGGTTGCCACAAGCTGTGGGCTGACAACAGTGGCTAACAGCGTTAGAAGGTGAATGCTGGTATTTCTCTTACCCATTTCTCCTTGTATTTTCCATCTCTTTTGCCCTCCTGCTGCCTCCCAAAGGTGTCATGAGCTAAAAAGCCCATGACTCAGTTGTATCCATTCAACCCACCCATCTTGGTCTTCTTTAAACTTGTGCATTTTCCACACTCCATCTTTATAGCTGATTCTTGTTTTGGCTTCAAGTTGCCATTCCACCACCTTTTATCCTTTCTGAAACACATGTTATATTTATTTTAAAGCCTTCCTATGGTGGTCCATTCGCTTGGCTTCCTCTGCTGTGGAGTGCCCATGTGTGATCAGTTGTTAAGTATTGAGCTTGTTAGTTGTTAGGTGTCATCAGCTCAGCTCTGACTCATGGAGCACTTACGCATAACAGCAGACAACACTGCCCAGTCCTGCACCTTCCTCACGGTGTGTTCAACTCCATTGTTTCAGCCATCGTGTCAAGCCATCTTGTTAAGGGTCTTTCCCTTTTTTCATTGACCCTCTACTTTACCAGTCTCCAGGGATCGGCCCCTCCTTATAACATGTCCCAAGAAACCAGACAAAGTCTTACCATTCTTGCTTCTAAGGAGCACTCTGGCTGTACTTCTTCTAAGACAGACTTGTTCATTCTTCTGGCAGTCCAGGTATATTCAATATTCTTTGCCAACACCATAATTCAAATGCATCAGTTCTTTGTTCAAAGATGTCACTTTGATGACTAAAATGCAATGCACCTGACCCAAGCCATGGTCTTTTCACATGCACATGAAAACTGAGCTCAAGAGAACCACCCATCTTTTGGTTAGCAGCTGAGCACTTCAACCACTGAGGTCTCTGTGTTTTCCCTGTGAGATTCTATGCCCTCTGGGGTATCAGCTACCTAGATATGTATTCTAGGGAAAGGAAAGAGGGCTATAACCCAGACTCTAAGGGGCTTCTTCAGGTGAGAGGTGGGGGAAGAGCCTCAGGGCAGAGTCTCCAGTGTTACCACCTTGGTGCCACCCTCTCTATGCCCTCCTCGGGACAGTGTCCTTGGCTTCGGCTCTGGGCACCACCCTTTTCCCAGGTGACATCTGCCTCAGTCCATGAGCACCACACCCGGAAGCTGCGGGCCAGGCCTCCTCCCCACCCAGCCTCGGGGCTGCTGAAGCTTTCTCCCCTCTGCTCTTCCCTGTGATGGGGCACAGGTGGGTAGGCCAGCTCAGCTGAAAGCATCTCTTGTCCAGGCTGCCTCTCACACCAGCCCTGGCCTCGAGCCCAGCCCTCCTCACCTCCCAGTGTCCTTCCCACACACAGGCCCTGGGACTTGCACTGCTCTTGAGACATCCCAGCATGAGTGAGTTTAGTGGATCCATCCACCTCCCCTGGAGCAGCCCCAGAGATTGTCTCCACAGCACCAAGAACACGGATGAGCCCCAACTTTACTGTGTGGCACCACCCCCACCCCCACCCCCAGGAGGAGCAGGGGCCAAATTCGGGCTTGCTCATGTGACCAACAAACACACAGGCCCAAAGGAAGCTGTTGCTCCTTTAACTGGGTGGGTTTTACATGTAGACAAACCAGTCGGTCCCCCAGGGCCTACAGTCCTGAGTCAGGGCTTCCTGGCATGGGCCAGAAGGCTGGACAACCTTCTAGGGATGCAGAGGACAGTACCACTGCCCATAAATACCTTTACATAAATATGGGGTGGGCTATATTCCAGGTAAACATCAGGCCAAGCTGCAGCAGTCCCAGGCCTAGCACCAACTGAACTACGAACCAGCCACACCTGTCCACACATATGCCTTTAGCCTGACTCAGGGCCAGGCCAGGCATGGCGGGGCAGGGCTTCCTCAGCACCAGCATGCTGAGTGCCTGGTGTGGCCAGAGGCCTGTCCACTTGCTGGACCCAGGTAGGGCCTCCCTCCTCATAGACGGGTGGCCTCCCCATCCATCCTCGTAGCAGGCAGTTATATCTGTCCATGTCCTCCAGAGAAAAGGTGCTTGTGCCGAGGGTGGGGCCAGAGTCCTGGGTCCATGGAGCACCCTCAGCTGTCACCAAAGCCCCTGTGTCCACTCAGCCAGAATGTGGGAGGTGGAGCCTTGGCCAGCGCTGCCTCGGAACTACTGGTTTGCTGCTGCCCTGTTGCTGAGCCTGGATACCAGGCTGTGGGAGGCTGGGTGTGTGGCTGCTGTGGGGTCAAGGGGAAAGGAGGGTGTCAGCTCCATTCTGGGGTGGGTACCTATCTTCCCCTTCTCCCCATCTTCTCCTGCCCAGCATGGTTCCTGCCTCATCTATGAGGTCCAAACTCTGAACATCCCAGACAGTGGACACCCACCTCCCTGGGATCCAGGTTATGGATAAATGCTTCCTTTGGCCTTAGGCATGAAGCCACCTCCTGGCACATGCCAGTCTCACCCAGCAATGTGGGCATTCCCCGTCCCCTTACCTGGGCCCAGGGATGTGGATAGGCTCTCCAGGAGCTGGGGGGGCCCACCTGCAGAGGGGTAGATGGCAGCTCATATCAGGGTGCCCCAATCTTGGGTGGGTAGCCATAGAGGGGCAGCAAGCCCTAACCTCAACCAGATTCTATAGGATGCAAACCCCGCACAGTCATCTTCCATTCTCCTGCTTACTCACACAGTGGGGCACCCCTCCCCCAGTGAAGCCCCACCCTGACCTGCCTGAGAAGCATGGGGGGGATCAGGAGGCTGGGCTTTAGGGCTGGGTGAGGAGGGCCCTTGCCCAGAGCCACTCAGCCACTCCAGAGGAGGGGGCAAGGCCCAGGACTCCTGATAGCCATGGAGGCCCTGCCCACAGAACCTGCTGGTGAACCATTGGGCAGCCGGGGGAGACAGGAGAGGTAGGGTCTCCAGGGTAGCCTGGGCTGAGCCAGCCCTGAGGTAGCCTTTGCAGGGCTTTTCAGAAGGCACAAGGGAGGGCACTGTGCTCAAGGAGATCATGTTACACCAGCCACAAAAGGCCCACCTATGCTCCTGGCCCACCAGATCTCAGGCAGGAGGAGGGGACTGGCTCCCAAGACCACCATCTAAAAATTCCAGCATTGTGCACTGGGTCAGCTTGTGCTGCAGTACCATACCTGACCACTAGATGCCACCATGGTCAGCGCTATGTCCCTGAGCACACCAGCCCTGAAGTTGTAGCTTCAACACAAGGCTGCAGGAGGTGGGATCCCTCCCAATTCTTTTCCCCCACCCCAGGCTCTTAATAGTTTGGGACCATGGCTGCCTTGGAGAAGCTCAGAAAGATGCACACACACCTAATACTGGGCCCATGATTGGAACACCAAGCCAAGGACCCCAGGTCAGGAACCTGCTTACGGCTATGCTACAAAGAGAGCCCTATGCATGACTCCCACCCTCATCCCGATCTGCATGTCTGTGCCACACAGGCCCGAAAGTTAGCCTTTGCCCCACTCCACAAGGATGTCTTTTTGACCTCCTGCACCTGGGGGAGTAACAAGGGGGTACCAGAGGGACCTGGGCTGGCCTGAGGGAGTAGGGATTCCACTGACAGAAAGTTCCAGCAGAGCCTCAAAGGACTCAGAGGCCAAAGGGGTCATCATTGCCACCCTCCCCACCTCTGTGCAGACATGTGTTTGCATATATACTGATGCAAACTCACATGCTATTGTGTACACACTCATGCACTGGTATACACACTCACTGGTGCACATACCCACACTGGCATATACACATGCACTCTTGCACCCACATGCACTGGAACGTGCATGCACTGGCAATGCACACGTGCACTCTGGCACACACACACACACACACACAGAGCAGCGAGAGGAATGGTGGTGTGCCCACGCTGGGTTAAGTGGCTACAAGGCTCAGCCTTGTCCACAAAAATGATTCCAGCACTGGGTATAAGCAGTAGTGGTAACAAGTCCTCGTTTAGGGCCAGGGAGTGGGGGAGGTGCAGAGCCAGGGTGGGGCTGAGATTGGGACACATTGTTCTCCCCAGTCATGGCTCCACTCACCTTCCTGGCACATGGGACCTGTGTAGCCATCCACACAGTGGCACTGCCCACTGACAGGATTGCAGTTGGCTCCACCCCCACAATCACAGTGCAAGGCGCAGTCGGGCCCGAATCGCCCATCTCTGCACTCTACAGGGCAAGAGAGAGACTGGCTGTGAGCAAACTCTGCTGCCCAGGTATAGTTACTGGAGGCTAGCATCTCTCAGGCCACTGAGAAGTACAACCACCCACTCTGCAGCCCCGTGAGCTCCTGTGTGGGAAAGGGCTGAACCTGGGTGGGCATGCACCCAGAATCACTGTCCTGTGTCCCCACCTCAGCCCCAGCTGGCAAATGGGCTTGGTGGTCACTGATGATCCTTCCCAGGACATGAGGGCGCCGGTGACCACCCCATACAAGAGCAGTTCCTCCTTTCCTTGGAGTGAGCCTCCCAAGTTGGGCCAACCAGGAGGGTTTTCTTCCCTCCAGTGGTATTGGTCCCCACACAGGGAGAGGCTCTTCCCAGCCTTTGGGTAGCCAGAGGGCAGGTCTGACCTTGGAGAGCTCCGAGGAAGAGCTCAGAGCATGGATTGCAAAAATCTGAACGATGCTCAGAGGGGTAAGGCAGGGCACAGAGGGCCCTGGGCAGGGTGCAGTGACAGCAGAGGGCACAATGCATACCCACCCCTGACGGAGGCCCACCCTGCATAGACTCCACACTCACCAAGGTCACATGCGGGTCCCGTGTGCCCCGGAGGGCAGAGGCAGCGGCCAGTGACAGGGTCACAGGGTGCATCTCCCTCACAGGCACACTGCTGCCAGCAGCCCTCTCCGAAGAAGCCTGGCTCACACTCTGTGGGAGGCACCGAGCTCAGCTCCATCACCCCTCACCCCACACCGGACTGGGTGGAGCAGGGTGGGGGATGGGGAGGTGGCAGCGCCTGTGCGGTGCAAGGGGCACTGAGCACTCACCCTGCTGGCAGGACTGGCCCCGGAAGCCTGCAGGGCAGAGGCACCGGCCGGTGACAGGGTGGCAGGGGGCTCCATGTTGACACTGGCACACCCCCCGGCAGCCGGCCCCATGGAAGCCGGGGGGACAGGCTAAGGGAGGACCCCAGTTAGAGCTTGGCAAGGGGAGGAGGTAGGAGAAACCTCCAGCAACTCAGCCTTGCTCCAGCCTCAGTTTACCCAGAGTACAGAAAGCCCACCCATGAGAAGTCCCCTCCTACACTTCTGCCCACCAGCTCCCTGGTTCTCTGTCCCCAGCTGGGGGCTCAGGACAGGAGGGGTGGCAGTGTCGGACCTGTGGGAGAACCAGGCTCTTGGCCAGAGAGCTCCTGCTCAGGGCCCAGGAAGATTAACTCAGAAATTGGTCACTGTCATGGCCCAGGTCTGCTCAGATTCCGCCCAGGGAAGGGGCAGAAGGCCCTCCAGCAGCCCAGCGGGCAGGTCCTGGCACTCACGGTGCTCACAGGCTGGGCCGTAGAAGCCAGGGCCGCAGAGGCAGGCCCCCGTGGTGGGCTCACAGGCCGAGCCATTGCGGCAAGTGCACTCCAGGTGGCAGGCGGCTCCGTAGCGCCCAGGTGGACAGGCTGGGGGAGGGCAGGCAGGTGAGTCTCTCTCCCAGAGGTGGAAGAAAGAGGCTCAAGGTCTGGTCCCTCCACACTGCACCTAGTCCAAGTGACCCTGAATCTCAGCCCACCCTACGAGAAAGCAGTGCCCCCAGAGCCTAGGGGCCCAACACCCTCTGCCAACAGCCTGGGTGCAGTCCCCTCCCCTGGGCTGGACACTCACCCTGCTCACAGTGCAGCCCCATCCAGCCCAGGCCACAGGTGCAGCTGCCATTGGTGGCGTGGCACAGACCTCCATTTCTGCACTGGCACATACCCATGCAATCCATGCCAAACTTGTTTTTAGGGCAGCCTGTGGGCAAAGGAGGCATGCCGGGAGCTCAGCCAGGGACAGGGCATGCCCCACAAGGACACTTGTTCACTCAACAAGTGTCTCCTATGGTCTGCTCCCCATGCCAATCTCTGCCCCTGGCGTTCGTGTGCCAGGAGGTGCACCATGCTTCTCATTAAATGCCCATCCAGGATGCAGCAAACCAGACACTCACTCCTGCAGGTGGGGCTCCATGCCTGGGGCTCCAGGGGCTGCAAGCACTGGCCTGGCTGACTGGGTGGGGGTCAGCAAGGCCATTCTAGAGAAGGCAGCAGCACAATGCATATGGCTCCCTAAAGCCTGGCGAATATACATATTCAAGGGGAGATCAGCCAGGCTGTCAGCAGACATGGGGTGGGGTGAGGGGGCCTGTCCTTCTTTGGGAGTGAGGTGGGCCAGGCCTCATCCTAGCTAGAGACAGGGTTAGAGGATGCAGTGGCCAAGGCCCCAGATGCCTGACCCTCTGCTGCCCACAGGCTCCCAAGGAAGATCCCAAGGCTGAGAACTGAGAGTATCATCAGAGGGTGGCAGAGGGTCCAGGTCTAACAGGGTACAGGGGACAGGCTTGCAGGCATGCCATCACAAGTCTGGGCTGCCACAGCAGTGCCCCAGAACTGTTTCTCCACCATGGCCTGTGCACTGGGCCTTCCTTTAGCAAGTCCCCAATCCCTGGGCCCAGCAGAAAGGGCCAGCAGGACCCGCTCACTCCAGTGGAACATCAGCCAGGAGCCTGGCTCCATTCTCAGATAGAAAACAGCTGTGTGACCCCTCTGCCTCAGGCTGAGGGCTCTGGGTGGGAGCCCAGCTTCACCAGTCACACGGACTCAGCAGGTCTGCTGACCTAAGCAGATCAACTCAGGGCCTGTTGGTTAAGGCTGGTTGTGGGGGCTGTCAACACCCCATGGACCACACATGACTTCCCAGGTGGGCTCATCCCGCTGGCCCCCAGAGCCACCGGGGAATCAACTGAGGAGCTGGGGTGACCTCCCTGCAGTGCTCACCACATAAGAGATCATCCTCAGCTGTTGCCATGGGGTACTCACCGTGCTCACAGTGGGTGCCCATTCTCCCGGGGGGGCAAGTGCAGGCTCCCGTCACAGGGTCACAGGCTGCACCCTCTCCACACTTGCACACATGGACACAGCTGGGGCCAGAACGGCCCTGTGGGCAGGCTGCCAAGGGAGACCAGTGAGAGTGCCACCCTGGCCTGGCAGCCGGCTCCCTATTTTCTCCCCAGAGGGGGAATAAGGGGGTAGGGGAGCATTGCCCAAGACAGAGGTGCTGCCAGCTCCCATGCCCCTCCTGTCCCTCCCCTCCACCTACAGCCCTATTGGGGCCACCTTGGCCTGCTCTGTGTGATCCCCTGCTGCCTGCCCCCACTCCACCAACCTGCATGCCCAGCCGGATCTCACCTGGGACCCCCAGCCTGCCCCATTCCCCAGCCCCCTCCACCTGCCCTGGCCACTCACTGAGGCTGCAGTCGGCCCCCAGGAAGCCAGCAGGACAGTGGCAGGAGCCAGTGGCCACATCACAGGAGCCACCGTTGCGGCATACACACTGCTGCTCACAGCCCTGCCCAAACCGCCCGGGTGGGCAGCCTGTGGGAGAGGGCCACTGCCAGGGCTGGGGAGGACACTGCCCCCAGCACCCCCAAGGACAGCCCAGTGGCCTTGCGAGATGACACCACCCCCAGCAGCAGTCTGGAGGCCTCACGAGGTAACACTGCACCCCAGTGTCCCCAGAGACAGCATGGCAGCTCAGTAAAATGACACTGTCCCCCACCAACATCCCCAGGGAAAAACCAGTGGCCTCATGAGGGCCCTGCCCATCCCACTACCCCCTTGGAGGAGGGCCTCTCACAGACTTGGGCCAGCACAGTATGAGCTGGGCATGGGGTGGCAGGGTACCCACGTTGCCGGCAGCCACTGCCATGGTAGCCAGCAGAACACACACAGGCCCCTGTGGCGGGATGGCAGGACTGGTTCTCGCTAGGACACTGGCACTTCTGGGCACAGTCCTCTCCAAAGGTGCCAGGCGGGCAGGCTGGGTGCATGCGGGAAGGGTGTCAGTCCTGGCCACAGCCACGGTCACTCACCCCACACACCCTCTCCAGGAGTGCCCCCTTCCCGCAGAGGAGGTTTGGGGGCACAGCTCAGGGGCTTATATAGCCTGATACTGCCAAGTCTCATCCCTACCCACTAAGGGAGTCACCTACCCTGCTCACAGCTGGGCCCAGTGAAGCCAGGGGGACAGCCACACTCCCCGGTGATGTGGTGGCAGGCAATGCCCGGTGGGCAGTGGCAACGCTGGGCACAGGCCTCTCCAAACCAGCCAGGTGTGCAGGCTGCAGGGAGGGAATGGGCTGGGAGGTTTCCGGGAGACAGGGGGACAGAGGGACCCAGGAACAGAGCTGGCCTGGGACCATCCCTATGTGGAGGACCACCCCTATGTGGAGGACCACCCTCTGGGAGATGGCAGTCAGTGCTGGTGACCAGGTGGGCCTGTGTTCACCACTCACGCCTCCTGCCCCTCTATCCTGGGGTCACAGCAGGCCTGGTTCCATGCCTGTGTAGAGGGTCTCCCCAACCCTGGGGCACTGGTGACCACGTAGCCCTGCGCTCACCGCTCTCACACCTCGCGTTCCTCCATCCTGGGGGGCAGAGGCAGGTGCCGGTGACATGGTGGCAGGGAGCTCCCCACCGGCAGGCACATCGCTCCTGACAGCCAGCCCCAAAGGTGCCCTCTGCGCAGGCTGCAGAAAGGCGATGGGGGAGAGAGGGTGAGGCAGGAACTGCCCCTAGCACCCCACCCCTGCATTTCCTACCCCCCAAAGGGCTGGGCCTGAGCCAAACGAGCAGCCCACGCTGGGCAAAGCAGCCCCATCCCCATCAGGCTTCCTTCCTTCATGGGAATCCTCCCATTGCGCCCCCCCCCCAGCAGCTTGGAGAGCACCCACCCCCACCGGCCCCCTCTGTGAGCCCCCTCACCTCTACAGCCTTAGCCCTACAGTGGACCCCACCCTCACTCACAGTTTTGGCACTTGTCTCCGCTCCAGCCAGCCGGGCAGAGGCAGGCGCCCGTTCGGGGCTCGCACAGTCCCCCGTTAAGGCAGTCGCAGCTCTGCTGGCAACCGGCCCCAAAGCGCCCAGGGAGACACTCTGCAGGAATGAGAAACAAGGCGAGTGTCCCCTGGGCCCGCAGACCCTGCTCACGTTTCCCTTACCCAGAGCCGACCCAAGGACCAAACTTGGAAGGAGAGATGATGGGGCTGGTCACCCTGCACGCCTGCAGCCACACCCCAGGACACTACCCTTGACCAGGGAGCCTCCTAGGCCGGGGCAGGTTGGGGTGCAGCCCTGGATCCCACAGACCCCCTGGGGACTTTGGCCCACTGCACTCACCCTGCTCACAAGCCAAGCCGGCCCAGCCCTCAGAGCATGTGCAGTGGCCTGCGACAGGGTCACAGGTGCCTCCATTCTGACAGATGCAAGGGCGCTGGCAGTCCTCGCCGTACAGGCCTGCAGGGCAGGCTGGGAGGAAAGGAGCCAGCACAGCATCAGCCAGCCAGACCCCAAAGCTCCGGCACTGGCCTTTGGGGTGAGAACCTACCAGGGCCACCTCTGAGATAACCTACCCCAGCAGCACCCTGGATCCATCAGCCCAGCCCTGGGGCGCCCCCTTCACCTCCCACAAGTGCAACAGCCCACCACCACTACCTGCTGCTCCGAGTATCCCAATTGCTGGACTCCCAGAGCAGAGATCCTTGTCCCCTACCTCCTACCTAGAGGCCCTTCAGGCAGGCTTACCCTGCAGGCATGTGGGCCCCATCCAGCCCGGGGTGCAGTGGCATCTTCCCAGCACTGGGTCACAGGCTGCTCCGTTGGCACAGGTACAGGCCTGACTGCAGTTGAGCCCATAGGTGTGGGCGGGGCAGGCTGGGAGTGGGAAAGGTGCACTCAGGGCCTCTGCCGGTACTGACCCAGGATACCCATCTGTGTCCCTGGAACTTCTACTCCCCTCCTGGGCCTGGGCTGCCCACAATAGGGACACTGCAGCCATGTGGGAAAGTGGTATTTAGGGAGTTAACAGCAGGTACAGCCACTTGGTGGCTCTGAACCCTGCACGATGGCAACAAATGGGCCAGCCCCCTTCCGTACTCCAACCAGGCAAGGCCTCACACACCTTGGTCACAGCGGGGGCCACGTCGGCCCGCCGGGCAGACACAGGTCCCACTCACAGGATCACAGGGAGCCCCACCGGCACAGTCACAGGCCCCAAGGCAGTCCACACCAAAGAAGCCGGCCGGGCAGGCTGCAAAGGAGTGGGTAGTGATGGAGGGCCCTCATACCTGAGGCCGCAGGCCCACCCTGTGGGCCTCCTTCCCTGCCCCACTCACCGCGCTCACAGAAGGTGCCCCTCCAGCCGGCCGCGCAGGTGCAGGCCCCGCTGACATGGTCGCAGGCCGCGCCGTGCTCACACCGACATTGCTGCCCACAGCCTGGCCCAAAGTGGCCCTGAGGACACCCTGAGGCACCAGTCCCAGCCCACCGTCAGCAAGGGCCTGGGACAGTGGGGCAGGGCCCGGCTCACAGGGAAACTTCCCCTACCCAAGGGGTCTGAGGACTCTTTCCTCTGCCCACCCAGCCAGGAACCAAGCTCCAGGGAAATGGGGGTATGGAGAGCCCCAGGCATCCGCCTTTGCGGTTCAAGGACTTGTCCAAGGCTGCTTCTAAGATATCTACCCCAGGATCTTCCTGGACCCCCCAAAGCCTTCCTTCCACCCATGAGAGTTACCCATATGGAGTTCTGCAGGCCCTCCAGTCTAACTGCAAAGCCCAGGCATCAGCCTTTGGGGTTAGGGACCTCGGCCAGGGCCACCTCCAAGATGACCTGAACCCCACTAGCCCCCAGTGCTGAAAGATGTGCCCTTCAGCCCTGGGCGTCTCTTCTTCACCTCCCCCCAGGTGCCAGGTACCCCACAGGGGTACATTAGCACCCTCTTGCCTGCCATTCTGAGTGGATGACATCTGGCATGGGTGGCTAGGGGGTTGGCCCTTTCCTGATGCAATGATAGGGCAGGGACCTGAGGGTCTAGTCAGGGGTGGGAGGCAGCTGGGTGAGTTCAGGCAGGGCTACCACCTTGCTTCTCTGGGTCAAGAAGGCAGGATGGGACTTCCTTGGGCTACTGAAACTTGGGGTCCCCACAGCAGGGCCTGGGGTGGGGTGGGGATGGCCAGAGTCCAACCCAACTCACGGTGCTCGCAGCGTGGGCCTGTGTAGCCAGCTTCACACAGGCAGCGGCCGCTAGTGGCCTCACAGCTCCCATGCCCAGCACTGCAGTTGCAGGGGTACCTGCAGTCAGGCCCCCAGTGCCCCCCATCACAGGCTGCAACAGAGTCAGTCACTCGGTACAGGGCCAGTGAGGCCCATAGCACGTGCCAAGGTCAGGGGTCAGGGGAGCTTGGGAGAGACCCCAATGCACCCCAGTCCCAGAAGTCCCTGTGCACAGCAGGTTGGTGGTCATGGATGAAGGAGCTCACCGTGCCTGGCAAGGCTGGGCCAAGGGGACATATTAGGAGGAACCCCAGTACTCCCCAGTCCTGGAGGACCCGTGTGCATGGCAGGGGGGTGATGTGGATGAAGGATCCCCCCCTCCACATACCTCTGCGACAGTCAAGGCCCATCCACCCTGGAGCACAGTTGCACCGCCCGGTCACTGGGTGGCAGTGCCCTGCATTGACACAGGAGCACCTGGCCTGACAGCCAGGCCCAAACCAGCCTGCTGGGCACACTGCAGGGGAAGAGAGAGTGAGCGCCTGGGCCTGGCCCCCATCCTGAGGCACACCCCAGGCCCCACTCACCATCCTGGCAGCGGCTGCCCACATAACCAGGTGGACATAGGCAGGCTCCTGTCTCAGGGTCACAGCTGGCACCGTGGTCACACTCAGGACAGATCTCCTGGCAGCCAAGTCCCCAGCGGCCCTGAGGACACTCTAACTTCCAAACACCCAGTTAGTGCCCCTGAGGCTCTCAGCCCGGGGGTGGGCACCTCGACACAACCAGCAGCCCACTCAGGGCCAGGAGAGGCTGCGGGGCACCACACCAGCCCCAGGGAGAGTGAAGCAGGCATCACCATAAGCCCCAGAGAGGGTGCTGGGAGACCCCCACATGGTGAGCAGACATGGGCCAGGGGTTCTGCTGGCTGACCTGGGGCTACCCTCCAATGGCCATCAAGTCCCCAGTGCTTCCCCCAAATACCCCCACCCCAGACCCAGTCTTGTTGACTCAGCAGGGCTCCACAGCTGCCAGGAGCAGGCTGAATCTAGAGCTCCAGGCTGGGGTCAAGGGCCCCAAAACATGGTCTGGGCTCAGGAGTCCCCAAATACTGTTAGGGGTGAGGGTCAAGGGTTCTTTAACTACTGTTAGGGCTGGGGTTAGGGGTCTCTAACCATGATCTGAGGCCAGATAGCCCCAAAATCTGTCAGTGCAAGGATGGAAAGGAACTTAAATATGTTCAGGGTTGGAGCCAGGGGTCGCCAAACAAAGTTCAGGGCTGAGGCTGGGGTCCCATATCACTGTGGGGAGCCAAGGAGAAAACTCCAGGAGACCCCTGCCACTCACCTGCCCCACAGTCATCCCCAGTCCTTCCTGGCGGGCACAGGCATTGCCCCGTGACCTGGTCACAGGGAGCCCCCCCACAGGAGCAGTGGACAGAACAGTTTGCACCAAATGTCCCCTCTGGGCACTCTGCAGGAAGGAACAGAATGGGCCTCAGCACACTCTTAAGGCCCAGCCTGGAGCCTCTCCTCCCTTGGGGGTTACCAACAACCTGGTCCCAGCCCCCAGCCCCCACCAGGCACCTGCTCCAGCTCCAGCAGGGCTGCTGAACACAACTGAGTCCCTGGGTGACCAGCCCAGGTCACAAGAAGGGGCTGAGGAGGAGGCAGTGCAGGGCAGGGCCAGGGGGTGCCTCAGGGGCACAGATAGGCAGAACTGAGGGTCACAGATGGGGCCATGAGACAGGGTGGAGACTGCTCTGGTTGAATTCGGGCCATCCAGGCCCCTGGAGAGCTCCCAGGGAGCACTGAGCCAGGCCAGCTCAGCCCTGTCCCATCCCCACCTTGGCCCACCTCCAGGGGCTCTCTGCTGGCCAGTGTCCCACTCCCTACCTGGAGATGCCCATTCAGTCCCTCCACAAGCCCCCTCCTCTCCCAGCCCTTCTCAGCTAGGAACCCTGGGATGTACATGCCCTCACCTAGCCTCAGAGCTGCAGTCCCCTCCTGGCAGGATGGGGTGGGGTGAGAGGGAGCAGGCCAGATGCCCCACAACTTCAGAGATAAGGGGGCCCTCCACAGGCCTGCCCACCCCCTGCCGCCACACATCACTGGGCAGTGAGACGGGAGGGGTGGAGGGACATGTTCAAAAGAGCTGACTCAGGCAAGCCCTAGGCACCTCATGAGGCCTCAGGAAGAAGAGGGGTGCTGTAGAGCTCTCCCACCACCACCACTCTCTCCATGGCCCTGCAGAGCCCTGGGTACTAGAAGCCTGGAGGCTTCTCCATGGAGCTTAGCGTCGTGGGCTTCCACGCCTCTTCTGGCCCTTAGGGCTCAGCCTCGGCCTCCCTGCTCCAGGACACCTGAGTGCAAGGCTGGGGGCAGCCCGGGGATACAGGAGAAGGCTCCTTCCTTGCCCAGTACAGAGGCTGTGCCATTGCCTCTCCTGCTGCTGCAGGAAATGGCCCCCTAGAAAGTGTTCATGGCAGCCTCCAGGTGCAGGCTGCAGATGCCCCAGGCTTCACGTGCAGAGACTCACAAACTCCGCCGACCAAAGCACCCACAGCCAAGGCTGAGCGCCGAGGACATCCCTGCCAGGAGGAGGAGCGTCAGAGGGGTGGGGACAGAATCCCAGCATGGGCACCTTCCAAGCCCCTAAGAGGGTCCTTGAGAACAAACTGATAAACCCTGTCATGAGGGACCTGTCCTCTGTGGACCCACATCTCACCCGCACGGGCACAGGCACATAAACAGGACCACAAGTGCAGCACACGTGCACCTCCAGTAGGTGCTTGGGTGCTACGTATGTGCACAAAGTAGGTGCTGCACACAGACATACGCCCACGCAGTGTGGACCAGGGAAAGGCAAATCCAGCTGTGCCATATGAAGCAGCCCTGCCAAGCCTCCTGGAGCCTCTGCTCCACTAATTGGGGGCAGACGCACATTTGGGTTGGTAATAGTTTCCAGAGCTAACAACAGCGAGGAGTCTACCATTTCCATAAAACTATGTGTGCCATTTCCTGTGGCCCATCCTTGGGGCTCCAGAGGCTTTTAAAGAAAAAGGAAAGGAACACAGCAGGGAAGAGCTGGGGTTGAGGCTCTCCTAGCTCACCCCTTGAAAGGGCCTTCAGTATCTCAGCCAATAAATAGGCCAGTGTGGTGAGGCATGCCCAGGGGAGGTCCACGGGATGGGGTGGAGGTGCTGCAACCCTGGGCCTCAGCAGCCCATGTGGTAGGGTGGCCTAAGATGAGAGTGTCCTTACACCCACTGCTGACCCCTCTGCTCAGCCTGAGCTGGTGGGAGCTCAAGACACACTGGCTCCCTACAGTGCCCCGTAGGATGGGGAGAACATTGGGGCCAGCTCTGTCTTGATGCTGCCACTGCAGGCCCCCTGCTGCCCATCTGCCTCAGGCTGGCAGGGGTGGGATGCATGTACACCACATGCCAAGGAAGCGTTTCACTTGCCTAGTACCTGTCGGTCACCGTGACCCTGCTTACTCATGATTCCTTTCCCTCCTGTGACAATGACAACACTTAGGTTTTTCCTACCCGTTGTGAGGCCGAGGAGCAGGAGACTCCAAGGACACTTGTCCTCTGTGCACCTCTGGCATGGTTAGTCATCAGCTCCAACGGGGACCTCCCTCCACCCTTTCTATTCATCCAACACTCACTCAGCCAGGCAGAGGGACTTGGAGAGTTCAAGGTCTGTCTCCCACCAGGTTCCCCATCTTCCTGACCCTCTCCAGCAAAGCCCAGCTCCACGTCCACTGAGTTCAGCGTTGAGCAGAGACAGAGTGCCTACCTCCCAGATCCTGCCCTGGGACCTCTGGGGCTGAGTCTGTGGGTCCACTGCATGACCACTCCCACTATGGAAATGTGGGTGCCCAGGCCTCAACCTCAATCCTCGGCTTTGTACCCATTACCCAGCCCCAGGCTGCACCATCCACGTGGAGGGGCCCTCTGTCACTGCACCCATGCCCCATGTTGGCACCTGCAGCTGAGACTTCTCTCCAGGAACAGCTGCCTCCCCAGGCACCTCCAAAGAGACTATTCGCCTGCTTGCTCACACTGCCAGGATGGAGCTCCTGCAGCCCAGCATCAAACACAAAGGGTGCTCTGGATATGCCAGTGGAGTGAGGGAGTGCAGGAAAGGAAGAGTGAGTGAAAGAAAGAATGAGTGAGTGAGCAAATGTGTGATTGAGTAAATGAGTGAATGAATGCCTGAGTGAGTGAGTAAGTCCTGAGCGACCAGTCCCGCCCTGAGCAAAGGGACAGACAGACCAGTCACTTGTGCCGTCATAGGTACAATGACTCAGGCAGGTAAAGTTGCTGGCCTGTCTCAGCAGGCCCTCTGCAGCCACCAGCATTCTAGGCCAGATGCCCTTGACCACCCCCAGATCACTGAGACCCTAGGGTTGGCCACTCACCTTGGTCACAGTCCTTGCCCCGGTAGCCAGCAGGACACTGCTTCTGACACTCACCACTCTTGGGGTCACAGGCCACACCTAGTGGGCAGGTGCACACCTGCCGGCAGCCCGGACCAAAAAACCCCAGCTGGCACTCTGCAGGACATGGAGGCAGGGCATCAGCAGCCCCGCGGGATGCTCCTGTCCCCATCCCGCACCTGCGCTTACCGTGCTGGCACCACTTCCCCCAGAAGCCTGGCTTGCAGGTACAGCTGCCGTCCCTCCGGTCACATGCCTGTGTGTTTCGTTGCTCACAGCGGCACTCTTCTGAGCAGCCCGGTCCAAAAGCCCATGGGGGGCAGGCTGTGGCCAGAGACACCGCAGGGATAAGACTGCTGCTATCTGTGCTGCCTCCCCAGCTGCATCTATCCATGGAGCCCCCAGCTCCATATTTCAAAGCCATGCACTGAGCACTTGTCCCAGCCCGTCCCACACAGCCACTGTGCCCTTTATTAACCAGATGCTCTTTGGGACGCCAGCACCTTGTCTCCCCAGCCCCAGGGGCCTGTGATGACTGCACCCATTTTACAGACAAACAAAACTCAGAGAGACCAAGTCACACCACTCCCAGCTGGGAAAGTCCCTGTACTTCTCAAACTTTCTATTTCTTCCTCCGAATTATTCCAGTGAACTGATCTGAAACTCCCTGTCCCCACCCACCCTCCCTCCAGCAGCCACAGCCCCTCTCCTCCTGGGTATCTAAGAGAGTCTGCAGACCCCATCTCGCTGCCAGGACCCAGGAATCTCAAATACCCAGGATAAGCCCTGTGCTTATCCTGAAGCTTCCGAGGGAGGCCTACTCTGTCAGGCATGCAGAGTAGCTTCCTGGTCACCCTGACTCTAGCCCACCTAGAGTCCCAGATCCAGGGCTAGGGGCTGCCCTCCCCCAACACTGTGCTGCACACTGTGGCCACCCAGCCAGATGCCCTAGAGACTGGCTCAGTCAAGACGGCAGCCTGGGGGGACCCTAGGCCCCCTGCCTCCCATCTTAGCTGGGTGACCTCTTTGAGCCCTGAGTTCCTTGTCCACAAAATGGTGAGCAGTCAAACTCAACCCAAAAGATACAAGCTCCCAGCATACAGTGAGCGAGGTGCATGGGCCTGTCCCTGTACCCAAGCCCCCCTTGACACTGCAGTGCAGCAGGACTCACCCAGGTGGCAGAAGCGGCCGTAGAGCCCTGGATCACAGAGGCAGGCCCCATAGATGCGGTGGCACCGGCCTCGGTTAGCACAATGGCACTTCTTCCGGCACTGCTTGCCGTAGAAGCCCTTGGGGCAGCCTGGAGGAGGGGACAGAGTGATGGGGGGGTAGGGAGTGGGCAGTGCACAAGATCCACAAGCCCAGAATACCTAGAGCCTAGGACACTAACACAGGCCCCCAAAAGCCTGCCCGCCAGACTATATGATATATGAGTACAGGTCTCCTCTAGCTCCCCTATCCAAGAGATCCCCCACATGACCCCAGCTGAGACCCAGGCCTCCTGGTCTTATGTTGTTGTTTCTGTGGGCCAGTGTGTCAATTCCAACTCATAGCAGCCCCGAAGAACAGAGTAGAACTGCCCCCATGGGGTTTCCTAGGCTGTAATCTTTATGGGAGCAGCTGCCAGATCTTTTCTCCCACAGAGCTGCTGGTGGTTTGAACCAATGACCTTACAGTTAGCAGCTGAGCATTTAAGCATTGCACCACCAAGGCTCCTCAGGGAAGTCATCCAAACCAAACCAAACCAAACTCACTGCTGTTGAGTCAATTCTACTCATAGCAACCCCTCCTTGGGTTTCCAAGGTGGTATCCCTACGGAGAGAGCTCTGGTAGCGTAGTGTCTAAGGTACTTGACTGCTAACCAGAAGGCTGGCAGTTCAAACCCACCAGCCACTTCTCGGAAGGAAGATGGGGCAATCTACTTCTGTAGTGATATTGCCTTGGAAACCCGAGGAGGGGTCGCTATGAGTCAGTCCCACTTGACGGCAAACAACAACAACATCTCTACGGAAGTAGATTGCCCAGTCTTCCTTCCGAGGAGTGGGTTGGTGGGTTTGAACCACCAGCCTTCTGGTTAGCAGTCAAATGCCCTAGGCACTACACCACCAAGCTCCCCTGGGAAGTCACAGAACATCCCAAAGCAGAAGCACCACATTCAGCCCCTTGGGCCGTCAGGGCAGCCAGCACACATAACTCCCACAGCACACCCACACCAGGCCTCTGGCCCCAGCAGCTGAAAACACCGGTGGAAGGGGAAGAAACGTCCGGAAGACAGCAGAGCCCTGAAGGCAGAGGGACTGGGGGATGAGGGGTGGTAACAGACAAGAAAGAGGTTGAGAGCCCTGCAGGGTGACCTGAGGCCTCAGCAGAGCACAGCCCCAGGCATCAGGTTGATTGCTCTCCTCCACCCACTAAAGTAGGACATTTCCAATTACATACATGTTAGCTGCATCCCCAGAAAAAGGCAGGATGGATGTGTTTGAAGACTTAAAGCTTTAGCGTTCATCTCCTGGGGACTCTCTAATTCCACCTGAGTCCCCTGGGTGATGCAACGATGAAAGTGGTCAGCTGCTAATCGAAAGGTGGGGGGTTTGAGCCTACCCAAAAGCGCCTTGGAAGAAAGGCCTGGTGATCTCATTCTGAAAACTCATCCACTGAGACCTCCCACGGAGCACAGTTCTGCTCTCACACATACGGGTCCCTATGAGTCAGTCAACCCCGGGGCAACTGGTTCTAATTGTTCCTAAAATGCTGCAACTTCAGGATTAGAAAGGGCATTGCCATGACTCCACATATCACCAGGCACATGAGTCATCCCGTCATCCCTTCTGTACTTCCCAACCAACCATCATACAGGTCTGCTTGAATACTTCCATGAACAGGAGCCTCACTACCTCTAAATGGAACAAATTTCAAAAGTGCTGTTCTGCCAAGACTTCATCATCTGCTGTCATTAGAGCCCAGAAGAATCAGCATGCAATAGGAAATCTGTGCTTTCTCCCCACAGGGCCTCGTCCCTCCCTCTCCAGTACAGCCAGAAGGGAAGGGGGTCTAAGCCAAGCAAAGTGCTATTATTAAGGAAGAAGACCTGGGGAGAGTGAGCGGGGAGAGATGCACAGTGATGCCCACCCTCCCCTTTCACTTCCCTCAGGGAGCCATTCAAGTGCCCAAGGATGCTACACATACCGTCCTCACAGTGAGATCCGCTGACACCTGGGGGGCAGCGGCAGGCCCCCGTGATAGGGTCGCAGGTCCCACCATTCTGACAGCTGCAGGAGAAGCTACAATTCTTCCCAAAGGTGTCTGGGGGACACGCTACAGGAGGGACATGAAGAACCAGGGTCACAGGCCGCAGGAAGACTCCAAACCCAGAGCCCTTCCCACGGACATGATGAGCCACCCTCCTAGGGACTAAGCCACTAGTTCAGAAGCTGCTGCCCACAGCAACAGATGTCAGCACCAGGGCACCATGGCGCTGCCCAGGCCGGGGCAGAGATCCTAATCAGTGGCTGCATCCTATTCATCGGAGTTCCACAGCATGGGCCCTGCTCGCTGGCATCTTCACACAGGCACACACTAAGAGCAACTGCTACTGCCCTTGAGACCAAACCCCCAGTGTGGTCTGGTGGGCTTAACAGAGTGTGGGGGAGCCAGCTCCAGGGGAGTAGCAAGGCAGGAGTCATTTTCCTGCCAGTGACACTTCTTGGGACACCCCTTGTTTCTTGATCACCCCTTTTCCTGATCACCACCTGTAATGGTTTTAGTTATTGGCTTGTTGCTGAGCCCCATGGATTGTGGCACTTGTGAAGGACAAATACCTGGCCTTGCTGTCCCTGGGGTACAAGTGGTCAGTGATTTATACTTATGGGAATGCTTGAATGAATGCATGAATGAATGAGTGAGGGAATGAATGAATGCATGAATGAGTGACTAAATGCATGAATGAGGGAATGAGTGAATGAATGAGGGATTAAATGCATGAATGAGTAAATGAATGATCACATGAATGAATGATTACATGAGTGAATGCATGAATGAACTGGTGAATGAATGAATGCATGAGTGAATGTATAGATGAATGAATGAGAGAATGAATAAATCCACGAGTGAATGAGTGAGTGAATTAGGGGAGCCCCCACCCAAGACTGATGGGGAGAGTAAGAGTGAACGGGGTCATGGCTGCCCACAGGCCCCTGTCCACCATGTCCCCACCCATCCCAGCCCTAGTCTCACTCTGGTTGCAGATGAGTCCAGTCCAGCCCTCAGGGCAATCACAGCCAACCAGGCCCGGCAGGCAGGTTCCCCCGTTGCTGCAGTCGTCACAGGTCAGGCTGCAGTCATGGCCAAAGGAGTCATCCAGGCAGACTAGGGGCAGGTAGGCAAGGGGCCTCAGAGGGTGACAAAACCTCAAGTACACTCAGCCATCACGGGCTGAGTCCCTGACGCAGGTCAACAGGCCAGGTGGGGGTGGGAGTCAGATGGAGGGGGACCTTGTGGGGCAGGACCCCTCCCACCCATTGGAGCCAGGTGCAGCTCTGGTCTAGCTCAGCCAGATCTGCTGTGGAAACCAAGCAAGTGTTTGCCCCTCTGGGCCTCGATCAACAGGACATTGCAGAGGGCAAAGACCTGGCCCAAGGGAGGGAGGATCCATCACCGTGAGAGCAGACTCCCGGGCTGGGAGTGACCCTCACCAAACTTCTCGGCCAACGTATGCTCCCCTCGGACCTCTGCCTCCTCCTCGTCAGCCATGCCTTCTTCGTCCTCCTCGAACAGCTGAGTCAGCTCATCCCGAAGCACCGCGATGTGGGGCAGGGGTCGCACAAAGGGCAGCTGGCCGTCCAGGTCTACCACCGACTCCTCCAGCACTAGGGACAGAGGCTGCTGAGTCCTGCTCCCAATACCCAGCTCTGCAGCGGTCACATACCCCTCCATGGCATCTCCCCAGGTGGGGCCTGCCCAGGCCCTCTGTGCAGCCCCTGCCCCAGGGTCAGCCAGTCACTTCCTCCCAAAGCCACCGCCTTCACACCCTGGTCACAGGGCCATCCCTGCTACCCTACTGACACTGCTACCAAGATGGAAAAGACCCAGACCCTATAGACTTGGCCCATGCCATCACCTCCACCAGCTCCTCCCAGCTCTGGCCCTGGAGTGTCCAGACCCTAGCCAAGACTCTGAGGCATGGAGGGGGTGAGGGGTGGCCAGGGCTCTGTTCTCTCTGGACTCTTCAGTGCCTAGGATGGTGTCACTTAGGTTGTGGCCTCTTATCTCACCTGGGCAAGGAGATCTGGCCTACCAAGACCTCTGAACACCACATGGCTCAGGTCACACTGTCTGAGCAACCCCCTACCCCATGTTCCCATTAGCAGCCACAGCCATTTCCAGTAGGAGGGGATGTGGCAGAGCCCAGTCAGGCCCTTAGATAGAGCCAATGCTCCGAGGGAGAGAAGGCAAGGAGGCCTGGAAGGGCACAGAGAGATCAGTGACATGGGGGGCACTGGGCCCAGACTCCAAGAAGGAAGGTAGGCAGGGGCATGATTAGGCACGGTGGGGACTTACAGGCACAGCCCCTGCGGTCTTCGAGCAGCCGGAAGCCCACTGCACAGGAACACTGGAAGGAGCCGGCCAGGTTGGTACAGTGGTGCTCACAGCCACCACGGCCAGAGGCGCACTCATCCACATCTACAGACAATCATGGGGCTGTGGAGGCCATCCTCTGGGGCCAGGGACACTGGCTGGCCCTGCCCATCCTGCTCCACTGCTGGTCTGAGGCCCTGCGGCCATGCCAGGGACTTACAAGTTCCCTCCGGCCCCAGTGTGCTCCTCCCAGCCATTCTCTCGCCTCAGGGTCAAGTGACAGTGGACACTCAGCCTCACTAGGCCAGGCTAGGAGCAGCCAGGGTACAGGCCCAGCCCCACAGGAGAGCAACCAGTGGCCACAGGTCAGCACAGCACTGCAACAGCAGGCACTCAATCAATGCACAGAGGCAGAGCATGTAGAGGACAAGGCCTTGTGCACACAGATGGGCCAGTTAGCCCAGCCCCTCCCATGCCGCACCCGGGCCACAACGCTCACCCTCACAGCCACAGCCATCGGTGCTGAGCCGGTAACCTGCGTAGCAGCTGCACTCGTAGCCGCCAGGGGTGTTCGTGCAGACCTGCTGGCAGCATGGTGAATCTGCACAGTCGTCCACGTCTACGGGTACACACCGAGAGCAGTTGGCACAGGTGATGCCAACCCACACCCCCCATCCAGTGCCACCCACCCACCATCACCCACCCACACATGATCATAGGCATATCTGCATACAATCACACACATACACATGCATGATCACATACACACAACTGTACACACACACAATCACATGCACACCCTCATACAACCACACAAACACAATCACACACAATCCTACACAATCACACACATATGTACACACCATTGCACATATACCTGTGCATGATCACATACACACTGGGCAGATTAGTGAGCACAATGCATATGCCGTAATACTTCACACCCACATTCACATGCACACCAGTGCACAATCATACAAACACCTGTACACAATAGTGAGCATATCCACATAAAATCACAGGCAAACATACATACAATCTCATGCACACCTCACACCCACTCACAGTCCCACATGCACTCACACATTCCTGTGCACACTCACACCCACACACATCTTGTACACACTCACACATAACCCTATGCATACCTCACACCTGTACACAACCCCACAGACGTTCCTGTCCTACACACATGCACACACAGAGGGCACATCTCACAGCCTCAGGACACCCTGCCTACTCTGGAGAAGGTGCCAGAGCAGGGGCCAGCCTGGAGCTGGAAGTGAGTCCCCCATGGAATCAGCACCACCCATCAAAAGAGGGTCTACCACCAGCCCTGCATGTCAGGGGCCATTCCCAGACTACTGGGCACTTCACAGGGTGATGGAGCAGTGCTCAGTGGAGGTGTTGGGGGAAACTTGGGTGCTGGGTGGGTGGGGACTCAGCAGGCCAGTATCAGCACCAAGGGATCTTCCTGGGGCCACTGATGCCACCTCTCACCAGGCACACCCCCTGACCACCTGCCTGGACCCAGTGCAGACAGAGCAGGGTACAACAGACAGGAGGGAGCTCCCACATCGAGGCATCAGACCTGCCTGCAGACTTGGCAGCAGCGGATCTGGCTTTGGGTCAGAATAGGCCAGTCTGGAAGAAACAGGCTCCAGGGCACAGACCCCATCAGCCCCACCCGGCAGCACATACCAATGCACGTCTTCTGGTCTGTGTCCAGCTCATAGCCACGGGGGCAGGTGCAGAGAGGCCCCAAACTGCTGTGGCTACAGCCGTGGGAGCAGCCGCCATTGTTGGCCTCACAGCTATTGACAATCTCCATCTCAATGCCTGCAATGAGACAGCCAGCCTGGGACAGGGCACAAGGTCTTGGGACCCCAAGCTAGCAAGTGCTCCCCTACCCCGCAGCCAGAGTGGGTGTGCCTTGCTGGGAAACAAGAACCAAGGAGGATCTCTTGGGCCTCAGAACAGGTCAGCTTTGCCTTCCTACAGTCTCGCCCACAGCACTGCCCCTGATCGACAAGGAAGCACCGCCCCTGGGGCAAAGCAAGTAGGCAGGCCAGTGAAGGGACGGGGAGCCATCTGCTGCCCTTGGGCATCCCTCATGCACGCAGGTACCTGCACACCACCCATTCACGGTAGCACTGCCACCCCGGGCACACCTCCATACCCCTGAGTGGAAGCACCCACCCACTGCCCACTTACGGTAGCACTGTCGGCCATCGGCACCCAGCTCATAGCCTGCATTGCACACACATTTGAAGGAGCCACGCGTGTTGAGGCAGCCATGGGCACACTGAGCCTGCCCTGTGGCACACTCGTCCACATCTGGAGGGAAGAGATCAAGGAGAGGGGTTTGGGCTACTGGCCTGAGAGACCCAACACCCATTAGGCTAGGAGGGGTGCAGCCGGGCAGTCAGGCCTCAGGATCCATCTGTGATCGATGCCCTCTGTACCTCCATTCCATGGCTGTACCCCTTCTCTACCCCCATTCCATGGCTGCACCCGCTCTGCATCCTCCTGTACCATGGCTGCACTCCCTCTGTGCCTCCCATTCTGTGGCTACACAACTGGGACCACTTGGACTTCCTGTGGACCTGGCCCTGCTATTCATTCACCTTCTGGTAGACAAGCTTCAGAGAAGACTAGGGTTCCCTCCTGGGGAGGCACAGAGGATGGTGGAAAGTGTCCACTTTGAGCCCCACTGCTAGAGCCTTGGGTCCTGCTGCTGGCTGTAGGTGAGAGGCTTAGCCTTTCTGTACTCCTTGGCCCAGGCCTGCTGGCACTCAGAGCATGGTTCCCAGCACCTCCTCCTGTGGCCACGACCTGAGTCCTGGCAGGAGTCCCTGACAACTCCCACAGTCCTCCACTGCTGTATTCATGCCCCTGAGATTCCCTGGGAGGAAGGAGTCTGCCCCCTAATCACACCTCAAGAGAGGGCGCCCCTGAAGCATCAGGCTCCTAAAACCCCAGGGCCTGCCTTTCAAAGTGCCAGTGACCTTTCAAATGCCCCTTCCTGGCACTAGTGAAGATTGCAACACAAGTTTCTCCCCCATGTTGGGACCATCTCTGCCGGCCACCTGGCAGGAGGCCTGGAAAATGGATCTGGCCGCCTGCACCCCCTACCCCACCCGAGCCATAAGCCGTCAGGCAGCGTGGACAGACGCCTCCCCTAGGCTGTTATCCGCGCCATTTATAACAGCCAGGAGTCAGAAATGATTCCAAGCCTAGAGAGAGCACTCAATGACACATATACCACCCGGCAGACAGACCTCAGGGCAGCCAAAGGTATCCAGGGTCTTGTGTTTTAGGAAACAGGACCCGTGTGAGCAAGTGGGAACATTAGACTGCGTAAATGTGCATATGAAATTGAATGTTACACATAACTGTGAGCCTGTGTGATTTTAAACATGCACAAATATGCACATTAACTTAAATGTGTTAAATATGCAGAAACCAAGAAAGAAAGGCGGCATAGAAATGTCACCCTGGGGCCCAGGAGTGCTATTTCCTCTGTTTTTCTTATTTATCTCTTTTCTGCATTGGTTCCTAATGAGCAGCTATTTCTTAGGTAATACAGTAAAACCTGCAAACGCCAGAACTTGTGTAAGGCAGGAATCTGTCAGAGAAAGATGGGTCAAATATTTTCCACTAAATATGTTGTTGTCAGGTGCCACCGAGTCAGTTTCGACTCGTAGAGACCCCATGTACAATGGAATGAAACACTGCCTGGTCCTGAACCATCCTCGCAATCCTTGCTAAGCTTGAGGTCATTGTCTCAGTTACTGTGTCAATCCATCTCATGGACAGTCTTCCTCTTTTTCACTGACCCTCTACTTTATAAGCATGATGCAGTTCTCAAGGGACTGGTCCCTTCCGATAACATGTCCAAAACACATGAGATGAAGTCTTGCCATCCTCACATCTAAGGAGCATTCTGGCTGTACTTCTTCCAAGATGGATTTATTTGCTGTTCTGGCAGCCCATGGTATTTTCACTATTCTTTGCCAACACTCCAATTCAAATTCATCAATTCTTCTGCAGTCTTCCTTATTCACTGTCCAGCTCTCCCATGCATATGAGGCTATTGAAAACACCATGGCTTGGGTCAGGCTCACCTTAAATCCTCAAAGTGATATCTTTGCTCTTTAACACTTCCAAGAAGTCTTTTGCAGCAAATTTACCCAGTGCAATATCTTGTTTGATGTGCTGACTACTGCTTCCATGGGTGGTGACTATACATCCAAGTAAAATGAAATCCCTGACAATTCCAATCTTTTCTGCACTTACTCTGATGTTGCTTATTGGTCCAGTTGTGAGAATTTTTGTTTTCTTTATGTTGAGGTGTAATCCATCCTGGAGCTTCAGTCTTTGATCTTCACCAGTAAGTGCTTCACATCATCTTCACTTTCAGCAACAAGGGCGTGTCACCTGCGTATCGCAGGTTGTTAATGAGCCTTCCTCTAATCCTGTTGCCATGTTTTTCTTCGTACAGTCCAGCTTCTTAGATTATTTGCTCAGTATACAGATTGAATAAGTATGGTGAAAGGATACAAGCCTGACACACACTTTTTCTGATTTTAAACCATGCTATATCCCCTTGTTCTGTTCAAACGACAGCCTCTTGGTCTACATATAGATTCTGCATGAGCACTATGAAGTGTTCTGGAATTCTTTGCAATGTTTTCCATAATTTGTTATGATCCACACAGTCAAATGCCTTTGCATAGTCAATAAAACACAGGTAAACATCTTTCTGGTATTCTCTGGTTTCAGCCAAGATACATCTGACATCAGCAATTATCTTCAGCAAGACTTTATTTGCATGTGATATTAATAATATTGTTTGACAGTCTCCACATTCTGTTGGATCACCTTTGTTTGGAATGGGCACAAATATGGATCTCTTCCAGTCAACTGGCCAGGTAACTATCTTCCAAATTTCTTGACGTAGACAAGTGAGTACTTCCAGCACAGCATCTATTCACTGAATCATCTCAATGAGTATCCCATCACTTCCTGGAGCCTTGTTTTTCAACAAAGCCTTCAGTGCAGCTTGGACTTCTTCAGTACCATCAATTTTTGATCATATGCCACCTCTTGAAATGGCCTAATGTTGACCAATTCTTTTTGGCACAGTGACTCTGTGTTTTCCTTCCATCTTCTTTTGATGTTCCCATGTTGTTCAATATTTTGCCCATAGAATCCTTCAATATTGCAACTCAAGGCTTGAATTTTTCTTGAGTTTTTTCAGCTTGAGGAATGGCAAGCATGTTCTTCCCTTTTGGTTTTCTAACTAGGTCTTTGCATCTTTCATATAATACTTGACTTTGTCTTTGAGAATCATCCTTTCAAATCTTCTGTTCAGCTCTTTTATTTCATCATTTCTTCCATTTGCTTTAGCTACTATCAGTGCAAGAGCAAGTTTCAGAATCTCTTCTGTCATTAATTTGGGTCTTTTCTTTCTTTCCTGTCTTTTTAATGACCTTCATGTACAATGTCATTGACACCATCCCACAACTCATCTGGTCTTTGGTCCTTAGTGTTCAAAGCATCAAATCTATTCTTGAGATGGTTTCTAAATTCAGGTGGCATATACTCAGGGTAGTACTTTGGCTCTCACAGACTTGTTTTAATTTTCTTCAGCTTCAACTTGAACTTGCATATGAGCAATTGATGGTCTATTCCACATTTGGCCTCTGGCCTGGTTCTGACTAATGCATGATATTGAGCTTCTCCATCACTTCTTTCTACAGATGTAGTCTATTTGATTCCTGTGTATTCCATCCAATGAGGTCCATGTGTACAGTCACTGGTTTACATTGTTGAAAAAAAGTATTTACAATGAATAAGTCATTGGTCTTGCAAAATTCTATCATGCCCCAGGCACTAAATACAGAGCGACAGAATGGTGACTGCATCCTATCAAAGGCTGAGAACTTTCGAGACCCAGAAAAACAAGGCTATTCTGCTGAGTTCCTGCTCTCACAGGTTTTACTCTACAAAATTTTTAAAAAATTTTAAAAATAAGAAACAAACACTGTGGGATCGCTTGTTTCCTTGTGCTGACAGGAGATTCCAGCTCGAAGCAGCTGCCTTAAGCATGTCCCTGCCCCTCCCTGTGCCTCCTCAAGCCCCCCCCAGCACAGATGAGCTGGGGCCAAGCAGACCATGCGTCATCCAGGGTCACCCGAGGGTGACTAGACAGACCAGTCCTGAACCCAAAAGACCCAGTCCAGCAGGATGCAGCTGGCCCAGCCCAGTGTCAGACACAGGTCCCTCCTCAGTGCCAGGGACATGCTAGCTGACTCTGGGCAGAGAGGAACACAGGATAGAGGGAGTCTCGTGGTCAAGGGTGCATGTTGGCAGGAGTGGGGGTACAGAGCGAAGAGGTAAGGGCAAGACTGGCAGGGGTGAGGTGCAGGACCAGGGCTGGATAAGGCAGGGTGGGCCTACCTTCACAGGCCTTGCGGTCCTCAGCCAGCTGGTAGCCAGTGTGGCACTGGCAGTGTGCGAGGCCCCGGCGGGCCTGGCACAAGTGCATGCAGCTGCCATTTCGGTCAGCACATGGGCTTCTCCCTGTAGGTAGAGGGCAGAGACCAAGGGAGAGGTCAGGGCAGGGTATACCTGCCCCAGGTGAGGCCCTAGGCCCACTAACGCCCCTCCCCACTCTGGCCAGTGGGCACATCTGAAAAGACCCCCCAACTCAGAGCAAGGTTGCTTCCCCATCAGAACCCACCTGAAGATAGGAGCACCCCTCCCCACAAAAGCCCACCCTCCTCCAAAGCCAGCTTTCCTGGGAGCCCCACTGATAGCAGGAAACAAGATGTGGAGCCCCACCCCCACTTATTCCCCTTGTTGGGCCCAGGTACAGGCTGGCCAGCTACCCAGAGGCATGAACACCTCTCTCTGGGCCTGTGACCCCATGACACTCACTCTGCTGCTGGCCTTGGCCCCGCCACACACACATACCCTCATCCCTGTACTGGTGGGGAGGACCCAGCAGGCCTTTCGCAGGGCGGGGGCTACAGGTGAGGAAGGCACGCTGTCTTCACCTGCCCTTCCCCCACCCTCATTTCCACAGCCAGGGTCTTCTGCATCTGCCCTGCCATCTCCAATGGCAGTTCCCCTTCCTTCTGGGATAAGCAGCCCAGAGACCCCAGGACAAATGCCAGAAGCACCTGGCAGCCCTTTACCCAAAGTTAGGCCCCGAGTCCCCTATACCTATAGCCAGAGCCAAGGCAGGACAGGGTAGGACCCCTCCAGGTATCTCTGGAACTAAGGAATGCACTGAGGCCCTTCCAGCTCCCCATGTAGGACCCCTGAGCCCAGCCCCACATCCATAACCTGGGGCTGAACATCCACCCAGCTGCTCAGCAGCAAGTGCCTCCAAAGACCCCAGCCAGGCCACCTTCCTGGGCACCCCCAGCCCCAGCAGCCCACTGGGGAGGTGTGACCCTGCCTCTGTCCCTAAGTGGGCAGACAGACTCACGGACACAGCGTTTGCCGTCCTCTTGGAGCTGGTACTCGGGCCGGCACTGGCAGCGGTGCCGTGTCGCCGTAAGCTGGATGCAGTTGTGCTGGCAGCCACCATTGCCCAGGGCACAGGAGTTGATGGCTGAAGGACAGGGGAAGGACCCAGGTCAGCCAGAGAGGCAGGCACAGAGCAGGGGACACAGGGGACAGCCTCCTCTGGGAAGCCACTCAAACTCTCAGGCTTCTGCGGGCCCCTCCTTGCTATCCACAGCCTGATCTGGCCTGGCAGTCTCTGTCCCAGAAGCAGGGGTTTGAGATAGGACAAAGTCCCCTCTGGTCCATTATGCACTCAACCCACCTGTAGGGGATGTGGCACCACGGCCATCTCAGGAGCTCATACATGCTCTCCTGGAAGGTCTAGCCCCTACAGGGCCCAGACCACCCATCACAGGACACAAAGCCCCCAGAGATCCTGAAGATCCGAGAAAAGGAGTGCAGGGCCTGGTGGTCCAGGCCAGCTCAATGGAGGATGGAGGCCTAGCACTCTGCTCCCAAATGTGGGCACCTGGAGGTGGTGGAGAGGCCAGAAGGGACCTGGTGCTTAGAGATGGAGTAGGTCTATGCAGTGGCACCATGCCAGGCCAACACACAGCCAGAGTTCAGGCAGCACCACCTCCCAGAACGCAGCTCCAGCC